AATATTAATTTCTAATAATTTATAATTATTAATAAGCTCTATATAGCTTATAAATCCCTTATTATATTATAAATCCCTTAGACTAGTAAACTAGCTTATATCGGCAGTTCTTAGAACAGAGCTAAAATACTAGCTAATACTAATTAGTATAGACTAGTAACTACTAATATAAGCTCTAGTAAACTAACTTTACTAGTTTATTATTACCCCGCATTCTTAGATAGATAAGCCTAATTAATACTAGCTAAAACTAGATTTTAGGCTAAATACAGAGAATAACGAAATATAGGCAAACAGAGCAGAAAGGAGAAAAGAGAGATAACTAAGCTAATACTAAAGCTATTAATAAGCTTATTTAACTTCTAGAATAAGATAGTAATATATATTTTATATATATTACTATAATAATTCTTTATACTATAGCGCGTCTTTTACTTTAAATTTACTTAGATTTAATATCTTAGATAGTAAGCTATATTTTTACTTTAGTATAAGTCTTTTAAGTTTAGTATTATTAAGATATTTTGCGTTAGCGCTGCGTAGTTAGTTTAGTTATATTAGATAAGCTACTTACTTAGATAAGCTACTTACTTATAAACTATATTAAGTCTAAGCAATCTAGTATATTAGATGCTATAAGTAGTATATCTTAACTTCTAAAACTTATTTTATATACTATTAGTATATAAAAACTATAATCTAACTTTTTAGACTATCTTATTATGTAAAAAATTAGAATACTTAGCAAAGTTTAATTTCTTAGTATTTTGCTCTATTTTTAAAAAAAAATTATAACTCTCTATTCTTATACTTAACTTTATTACTTAAAACTTTAGTATATATAATCTCTATAATATATAACCTCTATTCTAAAAGTTAGAGCTAAATAGAGTCTAGTATAGCCTAGTTATTAAATAGAATATTCTTTTTTAAGCTCTAAGAGATATTTAGCTTTATATCTCTAGAACTAGCATATAGAAAACTCTAAAACTTTAGAATCTATATCTTTATAGTCTATAGATGCTATAGTAAGAGTTATAGATTAATGCGTAGCTATATACTATAGGTTACTAGAGTTTAAAGCTAAGCAAGGCTCTATATTTCACTAAGCTCTAACTTTAGCAATACTAAGCCTAATTAGGTAACTTTTAAAGCATTAGAAAGCCCTAAATTAGGGCTTTCTAAATATAAAATAAACTCCTAAAATAGTCTAGAACTCGTAGAGTTATAGAGGAAAGCGTAATGCTAAGAAAAAGTGGCCAGCTCGGTGGTGTGGCCGTCTCAGTGGTGCTTTACGTTAGTATCTATTAAGAATTCTAGTTAAGAAGAGTGTCGTCTCGGAGAGCGCGAGGCCGCTGTGTACTAGTACTAAAAGAAACTAAATTCGATAAGTTAAGCGATGATACGCCTCGACGATACGCCACGACGATGCGCTACGACGATGCAAGCGGCTAGTATCTAGTTCTAGATGCCTCTGATAATTTCCACGCTCTGCGAAACTTCAGCTATGATTTTTAGTGCCATCTCAGCTAGGGGAAGACTCATCAGCGATTCACGCAGTCAAACTCGGCACTCCCCTAGACTCACCATAGTCTCCTAGCTTTACAAGCACGAGCCAGCAGACAGCGAGACATGTTGATATTTAAGGGAAACGCGCTGCCTGGCAACGAAGCTTTTCGCTACATACATACTGATATCTCCTCTTGAAACATGCGTTCGGCTGTTTTCGCCCTTACTTTTGCTTCGGTCTCTCTTGCGGTCGCCCAGCGCGTAAGCACAACGGCACGATGTGGCCCTTCTTTTGGGGGTTTGACATGTCGTGGTAGCACATTTGGAAACTGTTGTTCTCAGTACTCATACTGGTAAGGCTGGACATCATACTGTCGGCTTCATCCTAACAACATTAGTGGAAGCACGACAGCATACTGCGGTACCGGTTGTAAGTCCGGCTATGGGGACTGCAAGAGCTCGGTATCCTCGATCGTGAAACCAAGCTCAACATTCGTACTGGTGGCTTCCTCGTCGACACGTACATCACCCTCATCTTCGCCTACATCGACTCTCAAGGTCACCACCAACGCACGATGTGGAGTAGACGGCAGCAACCGGACATGCAAAGGTTCTCAATGGGGCAATTGCTGTAGTCGATATAACTATGTAAGTCACTGAAGGCTAATGGCCATGCAAAGAAGACGTCGGACTGACCATGAAAGTGTGGAAGCACTGTGGACTACTGCGGCAAGGGCTGTCAAGAAGGATTTGGCGACTGCAATTCCAGCCCGGCACAGTCTTCAATATCGTCTTCATCCTCGAAGTCTGTCACCTCTTCCAAAACATCGAGCATGTCCACTACAAGCAAACTTTGGTCGTCGAGCTCCAGCTCCAGTGCTAGTAGCACTCCAACAATCTCTTCGATAAGCTTGCCAACACCAAGCTCATCCTTGACTATGGTCTCTTTAACCACAAGTTCTGTTAGCAGCTCATCGTCTAGCAGCTCATCATCCAGTGTCTCATCGTCTTCTCTACTGTCTAGTACCGTAGCCACTACCACGATCGCGAGCAGCGATTCCACCGCCACAGCATCTTCCGCCCCAACCTCGTCTTCCACTTCGGAATCATCTTCCACTCCGACCTCGTCTTCGACCTCGTCTTCTACCCCCACCCCATCTGCCTCCCCTACTTGCGAACAGGTGGAAGTTTATACCGCAGCAAATGGAGCCCAATTCAATCTTAATATCGGCTGCACCCGCTACATCTACACTATCAGCAACCCTAACCAAAATGGTGGTCCTATCAACACCATTGACACGACAACTCAGACCTCCATAGAGGCTTGTGCAGAGTTTTGCTCTTTGGCCGCAAATTGTCTGTATATCGATTTCTACGAAACGACGTGCTCGAGGATCACCGCTATTAGCACATACAATGGGGATGGACTGAGTCCTAATAAACAAACTTTTATCAAGACTGGGTATCGCGTTACGTCGTCGTCGCCCGTACCAGCGCTAGCTGAAACCTAAGAACAGGAAGTAGAGTAACTATTAAGTAGTAATGTATAATATATATTATAGGCAACTTAAAAGTTTACCACGTACACATAGAGACTATGCAATAATATTTATAATTTAGACTTATATATAGATAAGTTACTTAATAAGAATAGAAGAGGCTATTGCTATATTATATTAGTAAGATTAACTAGAGTACAAAACATATCTTAACTCTGTAGTTTATAAGCTAGGTCTCTGCTTAATTATATAGATCTAACATTTAGCACTTACTACATATCTAACACTAAGTAGTATATGCTAATGCAATTCGCAAATTGCTACTTAGCTAGCACTAACAAAAAGACAGTAGAATTCGTATTTTCGAGCTATAAGAGCAGCGCATGATAAGAAGACGATACTTTATCTTACCTCAGCTCCACAGAGCTCCACGTCTATCCCCTAGGCCAGGAAATTAGAGGTAAGGCGAGCCATTCCGTGACATGCCGTTCACGAAGACCCCTCTTTTTCACATGCCCTAATGCCTAGACAAAGTATCGAAAAACTGATCGGTCAGCCCTATTATAGCTTCTGAGCGGAGAAGGTCCGTCTCGTACTGTGTGGAGACAAGTGCCAAGCGTGCGGTGCTGAGACTGCTAGCAACAGCCATGTGCACGCCGGTGAGGCATTTAAGGGCCTGAATGCAGGTTGTGCAGACTCGCGTGCTTACTCGCAGCTTCAGCAGACTGGGTTGCATGCATGTCTGGACTGATGTAGCATACTTTTGGTGGGAAGGGTATCTTACGTGCCGTCTTGGGGTTCATCCAATACATGCACGCAATGTATCTTACTGGGCGCTAGCATGAGCTTAAATCCTTCCTAGGCGTTGCGACGGCATCCGCGGCAGTAATTCTGGAGTCACGAGGAGTAGCAGCCGAAATAGTCACTGAAATAGCGACCGAAATACGAAGGTAGTGTGGGTAGTGTGAAGACTGTCGCTCAGGCGGCGTGGGACCTAGCCTTGTAGTGCGGCATGGGCAAATTTTCCACGGGGCGAGAAACGTGTGGCCCACGCCACGCGCACGAGCTACCGCGTTGGCGGGAGGGTGGTGATAAGAGTCCTAGCGCCATTTACCCGACATTCGTGCAGCAGAACACCTACCCAAAGTGGGTTTGCAGGGTGCGATAGACGAATACCAAGCTGGCTGCGCGTTCAGCCGCAGCACTTGAACTATTGAATGTCGTTTGCTGACACGGCAGCTCGCCACATGCCTGCCTCGTACCCAGCCAAGGTTCCATCGCGAGACCGGGACGACTGACTAGAGGCCTCGAGGTAGTGCCCATATCAGGCAAAAACTATTCCGTGTGGTGAGCAGTACGGTGAGCATATATACCTCGTCGTGAGAATGTCAGTGCTCGTGTCTTGTTGTCATTGCTGTCGCATGCACTCTAATTTACTTCGCCCAACATGAAGCGTCCCTGGATAAATGGATGGGCTCGCACTCCAATACTATGCACATTATTGTTTGTATGCACGACCGATGGTGCAGGTGCACTTAACCGACAGAAGGCTGTGGTGCTAAAAGAATTGCCCGAAGGATGGTCACACAAAGGCTGTTACGCGTAAGTAAAATCCACTATATTGCGTTTGAATAAACATTCGCAACGCCCGATGATCCTGGCACGTACTGACAGGAACCAGGGATCTGGTTGATCAGCGCACTGTACGCATCGCAGACTCCGGGACTGAGCCTTTGAGCGCGGCTCGCTGCATTGCGCTATGCGACGATCGTGGCTACCCAGTAGCTGGTACCTGGAACGACAATGAGTGTACGCCATTCCCTCGGCATTGGCTGCCCCTTTTGCTGTTTGTGGCTGTATCTAATCATAGCCAGGCCTTTGCGGGACAGCATTGAAGAGCTCGAGCAGATTCTCGGCCTCCGAATGCTCCGCGGACTGCGCAAGCGATGCTGCAGCAGATTGCGAAAGCAGAGACCATCTTTACGCCTATGGGCGTGACGACACTGCAAGCGACAGGAGCAAGCATGTGCTTGTTGGACGACAGGCTCCCGGAGTCTCATCTGCCCCTCCAGCTAGCGGTACCACGGTGCCGGTAAAACCAAAGGGATGGTATTATGAAGGCTGCTACACCGACTCCGTTGCTAAAAGATCTCTCTCCGTTGGTGCCAATGTGAACGGTGGAATGACAAACAAGGGCTGTCAAACTGCATGTCAGTCGGCTGGCTACACACTCGCTGGCACCGAATACGCCGGCGAGTGCTTTTGTGACAATCAACTTCGCAACTCTGGCGGTCCGGCGCCTAATGGCGAAGTGCGCGCAGTGCAACATGAAGTGCAACGGAAACCAAACAGATGTATGCGGAGGATCTGACCGGTTAACATTGTACAAATTCTACACGGGACAAGAATCGAGCTCACCCTCACCCTCGCCATCGCCGTCGCCATCGCGCACCGCGGCGGCAGGCGGCGCTTCGAGCGCGCCCATCGTCTCAAGTGCATCGAGTGCTGCGCCTGTAGCCACCGGTGTGCCGAAAGGCTTCACCTATAAAGGTTGCTACGTGGATGGACCCGGCTATCGCATCATGAACAGTCAGCAGCCCGATGACTCGGCTATGACCATTGGCTCCTGTGCGAGCAAGTGCGCCACTGCAGGCTACTCCATCGCTGGTATGGAGTACAGTACGCAATGCTTCTGCGACAACGTCATCCGCGAGGGAGGTTCTCTCGCGTCTTCGGATACAGAATGTAACATGCCATGTGGAGGTAGCTCCAGTCAGAAGTGTGGTGCTGGCAACAGGCTCAGCATCTGGTCGAACCAGACGACATTGCAGATAATCAAGAAGCCAACACCTGTACAGAACGTAAGCGACTGGACTTATCAGGGCTGCATAACTGACGGAGGCAATGGAGCAAGAGTCTTCCCCTGGCAGTTGGTCAACGCAACAGGTAACTCGCCCGAATGGTGTCTGGGTAAGTGTAAAGAGTATGGCTACATGGCCGCAGGGATGGAATACGGAGAAGAATGCTACTGTGGAGATGTTGAAGGCATTGCAAAGGCCGGATCAACAAAAGCTCCGGACTCTGACTGCGCCACCGCCTGTCCAGGAGCTCCCGAGGCCATTTGTGGTGCCGGCAACCGACTTACTTGGTATAAGTGGACAGGTACTCCGCTCTACGTTTGGCAATACCCCAAAGGAACAGCTGCTGGTCGATACGAGTTCTTAGTCGGAGGCCCCATTATCCCGCTGATCGCGCAACCGGGCATTAACGGCAAGATCAATCTGCTCGAGAAACATGGGACTGGGGCACCGAACACTACGGGTGCGTACGAGTTTGATCCATCCATAGGCGGCGATATCTTTCACGCTTTCCGCGAGCTGAAAGGCCTCAAGACTGATGTATTCTGCGCTGCTGGCCTTACAATGCCGGACCGCGCTGGTCGTCAGATCAACATTGGCGGTTGGTCTGTAGATTCTCTCTTTGGAGTTCGTATTTACTGGCCAGACGGCAAACCTGGTATCAACGGAACGAATGACTGGCAAGAGGATGTCAACGCTGTCAGACTCCAGCAGCCGCGCTGGTATCCCACGGGCATGGTCATGGCCAATGGTTCCATACTCATTGTCGGTGGTGAGAACGGTTCAAACGGCCCACCGGTCCCGAACATGGAAATCCTTCCTACAGTTGGGCCCATATACGAAGCAGAATACTTGCGCCAAACGGATCCATACAACCTGTACCCGTATCTCGTCGTGTTGCCATCTGGTGGCATCTTCATCCAGTACTATAACGAAGCCCGAATTCTGAATGAGGTCACCTTGAACACAGTCAAGATCCTTCCCAAGGTGCCAGGAGGAGTCAATGACCCTAAGGGAGGCCGGACGTACCCTCTTGAGGGCTCTCAGGTACTGCTGCCACAGTATTATCCGTATGACAAGCCGCTCGAAGTCCTAATCTGCGGTGGAGCGACACTACAGCCGGCGTGGGGAATCGACAATTGCGTAAGCATTGCGCCAGATGCGCCAAACCCCCAATGGGCAATCGAGCGTATGCCATCACGACGAGTCATGTCATGTATGGCGACTCTGCCAGACGGAACGTTTCTGATTCTTAACGGCGCAGAGAAGGGCGCAGCAGGTTTCGGGCTCGGAGAAAACTCAAACTTCAATGCGCTCTTGTACGACTCCAGGAAGCCACTCAACCAGCGTATAAGCATGATGGCGAATACAACAATCGCACGCATGTACCATTCCGAAGCTGTGCTAATGGATGACGGTCGGGTACTGGTCTCCGGCTCAGACCCCGAGGACAACACACACCCCCAGGAATACAGATTTGAAGTCTTCCTGCCGCCATACCTACTCTCGGGGGCCCCACAGCCTGCTTTCAGCTTACCACAGAATGACTGGATCTGGGAGACAGACTACGCCTTTACCATAACCTCTTCGACCAGCGGCAACATCAAGGTATCTCTGCTCGGCTCAGAGTCTAGCACGCACGGCAGCTCTATGGGAGCGCGTATCCTATTTCCAAGCTTCTCATGTTCTGGTACTTCCTGTACTGTGAAAGCACCCAAAGGCCCTTATGTCGCGCCTGTCGGCTGGTATCGCATGTTCGTCATGGATGGGCCAACGCCATCACATGCAAAATGGGTGAGAATAGGCGGAGATCCAGGCAAACTGGGAAACTGGCCCAATTCTGCGGCGTTCCAACCTTTGCCAGGCGTGGGCCCCGTCCAGAGTTCGAACGCTAAGGTGGCAGCTCCGAGCGCTACGAAATCGGGCCGGTCGTTTGTCTCTTAAAGTACTCAGTTTTTTTCATGATTAATGTTTATTCCGTAATCTATTAGCAACACCACATGGTAACACGAAAGTGAATAATATGTATATGCTTAAGTCGATGGATTGGGAGTATGGCGACACTGTGACCATTAGTCCCCGCAATTCTTACGGATGTGGACCAATTCCCATGCTGTAGCTGTAGTCCTTTGCCAATTGTGGTACATGTAAGACTCGCAGATATCCAAGATCTGCGTACATACTTTGATCTCTATTCATTGTGCCCAATGCTTCCAAGCGTGTACAAAATTGCTTCGGTCTGACTGTAAGGCCAGAGACAATGCTTGGGTATTCTCCGCGAAGCTGCCGATATCTCCTAATGGCACCATACTAGGCCGTCCGTGTGCGCACACAAAGGGGAATGCGCATGTAGCCAACTTTTGTACAAGTCCTCTAGACTGATGCATGTCAAGCTCATCATTGAACATGATGGCCGAGCGACACGCTCGAGAGTTGATGATGTCAACAAGACCTTCGGGACAATGGCCGAGGCGACCTATCCAATCTAAAGGTTGACTGGGCTGAGGTAGCGACGTTTCCGTCGACAGGCTAAGATCGTTCGCATATTTCCAGACTGCAGTGCGTAAGAAGGAAATCAGAAGCTGAGCATCCGCTTGACAACGCTCGGAAATGCCGGGTGGCAAAGCCGTTACGCATAGGAGTCGTGAGGGTTCTTCGGAGGTAACTACTTTGACAGAATTCGTGGCAGAGTCCACAAAGTCGAACAGGATACCCCAAGATGCAAACCTATCGGCGTATGTGGCAAAGTGCAGCTGTTCTTGTCGTGAAACGGTGAACTTGGGTGGATTCTCGAGCATGACTGATCCTACCAAGGCACGGTGACCGAGCTTTGATTGGTAGCCAGAGCAATGTGTATCCATTGGAGAGCAAAGTTCCCGTAACAAAGCCTCCACTCGAATCCGCTCATCTGCTGCATGTTGGTCAATTAGCACCAGCAATGGCCTCGCAGCGTCATGTTTAGGATTTTCATCTGGGCGAGTTCTCATTTTGACAAGGATAAACTTCTTATCCACTTGCGCCAGGACCTCGGCGCTCACGAGGCATTCTTTTGACAGCCTGGCCTTGGTGAGGGGATGTGCAAACTGAGCTGCATCCTTGGGCGCGGAGCAGCATTGGTGGTGCAAGTTGTGTCCTTTGTCGTCTTGGGGTAAGATCTGCTCTATTCGTTGCTCGTTCGTTCGGAAGACAGGGTTAGTCCAAGTTTGAAGTATCCCATCCAGCCAGGGCGTCTGTCCCACAGCAGCGGTCTTCGGAGCAAGCCGTAGTGATGGTTTTGAAGGCGCGTGCGGCATGCCTAGTGGCGATGTGAATGGATGAGTAGCTGGTCTGGTACTTGAGAGCGGCATCACACAGCCAGTGCGAGCGTTCAGTACGTGTGCCTTTTTGGTTGTTGGGTCAACCCAGACCAAAGATTCGTCGACGTTATCGTTATCAAATGCGCCTATTTTTTGCTGTGTCATCGTACCGGCCCTTGGTTCAGGGATTTGCAAGGTCGCAGGAATGTTGAAAAAGTCCGTCTTCCCACTCTTGATTCGAGACCACTCTGCAAAAGCTCGGTTTCCTGGCTTCTCGACATTACACTCTGACGGTCTAGACCGCTTTCTCTTTTTGCCAAGCGTCGGTTTTGCGTCGAGATTGCGTGCTTCGAAGTCTACACGGCGCAGGCTGTCTCTCGATGAAGCTTCTGGCGGTCCTGCGCCGGATGACGTGGGTCCATCTTCGCTCGACAATACTGGGACATTGACTGAAGCGCCAGCACTCTTTCGGTTTGGGCGATCTGACACGGGACTGAAATGATGGGCTTTTAGCCATTGGACGATCATAGCGCCAAGGACCTCGACGACGGCTTGGAGGTTTGTTTCCTCACCGACGAGTTCGTCTTCTGCACAACCCGCTGGCATACCTTCCCGCAAAGCGATGCGAAGATGAAACATTGGATATCTATCAACACCTTTTCTCATTTTGAATTGTCGACGTCGGTTCAATCGCTTGTCTGATGACTGACGGTCCTTGTCAGGCTCACTGACAACATGTTCTTCTTCAATACCGAAACTGGAATGTCTGAACAGGCGATTCACTTGATTGTAAAGTTCATTGTTTTCGCCATCAGCGGACAGAGGCCGAATACCAAGCGAGATGAACTGAATGCTCCTGGTGGGTGCTGGTTCGAGCGATATGACGCCTTGGATGGATAGCGAGGGCGTGGAGGCTGACACGGGTATCCAAGTTGGCCACTGGGTCACTGAGATGTAGTTGGCCTGGGTGAGGATGGCAAGCATGCAAGTAAGATGCGATGACGGCGGGTGTGAGTTGGCCAAGCGCTTTTCCCGTGCTGCCAGCCACGAGTTGGAGGTGTTGAAGGCGAAGCGGATGCGATTTTGGGCATCTTGGACTCGTAGGCTCACGGAGCCAGACCAGCTTAGCAGAAGAGCTGCGACACTCGACTTCAGCTTATCCCACAGGCGGTCGTGTTCTGACCTGTGCTCGGCAGCTTTCGATCGCTGTTTTACACGAACAGGCAGGTTTCCAAACAGGTTGCGGACCGTCACGCGGGTGCCGTGCTTCTCATGTGTGTGATGGTGTGATTCCGCGGGCAGCTGCCGGCGGACAGTCTTGGCGTGGTGAAACGTGACAGAGTTGTGGGGAGCGGTGCTGGCAGTGGCGTGATGTGACGGACAGGAGGGACACAGCAGAGAGGGAGGCGAGGAAGGTGCCATGGCGGCCGAGAAGCGGTTCGGATGGATTGTGTTTCGAGGTGCCTGCACATGTGCGCTATTAGTGCATGTGACGGGCAGACAGAGGTATGAGGCAGCCTGAAGACGTACAGTAGCGTCTACCCAGCCCGCCGTCCTCTGTGAACTCAAGTGGTGGGATGCCCCGGCCGTCGTCCTCTACGGTGCATGCGCCTCGGGCAAAGTCGACGGACGCCTCGACCTTGGTGGCTCTGGCGTCAAGCGAGTTCTTCAGCAGCTCCAGCACTACGTCGGTGAGCGACACAATGGCCGTCGACGACTTGATCTGGGCGACGACGTCGTCGGGCAGAGGCAGAATGCAGGAGGAGGGCTTCTGGGCCGTGCATGTTTGGCTCATGACGCCGTTGGGTTGGTGCCGCCGGCAAACGTGAGGGTGGAGCCAGAGGAGGTGCACATGTTTTGTTTCGACACGGACAGTCAACAATCGGCGCTGCGGGGGGAAGGTGCGAGGTGCGAGGTGCGAGGTGCGAGGCGCGAGGCGCGAGGCGCGATGGTGGTGCAGCGCTCAGAAGTCGTGGTAGCGCATCTATGCATCCATGTCGGACGCGCCTCGGCCCGCCAGATGGGAACGTACTTGGAAGCCTCTGGCCTCTGGAGGAAGGTGGAAGGGTCCAGCGGCCGGAGATATGCTAACAGTGCACCCTCCCTGCGCCGACGCCAAACATAGACTACCACTACTACTATTTTTGCTACTACTACTACTACTACTACTACTACTACTACTACTACTACTACTACTACTACTACTACTACTACTACTACTACTACTACTACTACTACTACTACTACTACTACTACTACTACTACTACTACTACTACTACATACATACAAAGGTGCTGTCCACCAATCCGTCTCTATCCACCATCCACCGTCCACCGTCCACCGTCCATACCAGACCACGCCCGCCAACCTCGACGACCAACACCGTCGCACCGCCAACTCGACGTCAGCCCGCCACGTGCAGCCCGTCCGCCAGTCAGCCCCGGGCCTCGACCCTTCACCTTAGCACTCACCGCATCACCGCATCACCGCACAGCGCAGCCACTTGGCGCGCGACCATGGCCACGGCCCAAGCAGCATCGCCGCCTCATGGTATGTCCCAGCCTCAACACCACCACCGTCCGCAGCACTGATGCGCCCCTCTGAAGACCGCCATGCGCGCAAGCGGCCCTTTGCGGGCTGGATGAAGCGCCTCGCGAACCTCAAGCCCTCGTCCTCGGACTCGCCCGGCGGCTCCGGCAATGGCAAGAAGGCGACTGCCAAAAAGGCCGCCGCAAAGAACAACCCCTACCCCGAGTCGGGCGTCGTCACCGCCAGCGCGCCTGCCCACCTCTCCTTCTCCACCCCCGAGACGCCGCGTGCGCGCTCCAAGGAGAGCTTCACCTCGGTCGAGGAAGGCGCCTCGGAGCAGCAGCGTGCCCTCGCCAACAGCAACAGGTCCACGGCGCCCACGGCCGACACGGGCAACAGCCACTTGATGAGCGGCGGCAGCACCTTCTCGTCCCCCAACGGCTCCGAGCACTCGCTCACCACCACCCTGACCACCATACAGTCAACCGCCCCCTCCCACGTCCTGGGTGCCGGACATGCCCAGCCGACCACCGCCAACGGCACCCCCGTGCACTTCTCCCACCAGTTCCCCTCCAACTCACCGCTGCCCTCGGCCATCCCGCCGCACCTGGCCCCCCTGCAGCAGCCCAACTCGTACCAGGGCGCGACCGCGAACAACATCCTCACCGACAATGCCTCCATCCTGACCCTCGCCTCGTCGTCCAAGCGCCGCCGTCGCAACTCGCTCGATACCAACGCCTCGGTGCGCGCCCTTGCCCCGTCATCGCATTATGGCGGCAGCCGCGAGTCACTGCCCCTGAGCGTGCTCTCTGGCAACGCCGACGCCATATATTCTCCCTCGAACAGGCCGGGCAACGTCGGCGCCTTTGCGAATGCAGAGCGCGCGAGCGTCTACTCGGCCTCCGGCGTGACGGCTCCCGTCCTCACCAGCGAACGCAACAGCTACTACGCAAACAAGCAGAATGCCGATGGTCTCAGCATTCGGAGCGGGCTTCTGGGCCATGGCCGCACAGATAGTATCAGCAGCATCCGCGCCACGCCCACCAGCCCGCTCGCAAGCCCGAGGGAGCCGCTCGGTCCTGGCAAAGTGAGCCGGCGCAGTTCGGATTGGAAGGACGCCAAGGACGCGAGGGAAGCAAGTGACGAGGACGATGAGTCGTCAAGTCCCACCACAGCAGACCTTGACGACAAGGCCAAGGGCAGGAACGCCTCTTGATTTCTGATTCATGCTACATGATCGAGACTGCTGCAGCTTTTCAAACAAGGCGTTATTGGATCAGTGGCAGGATGCGCATCGTGGCTTTCCATTCATCATATACCCAATGCTATCACGATGCCTTTCAGTCTCTTGTGGCAATCATTCGGCATTGCATTGAATCTGATATTGCTACTTGTCACAGTGTCATGTATGAGCGCAATGAGACCTGAAGAGCCACTAACTTAGGCAGCCAGGTCAATTAAACGCTCACTTCCTTCTTGGAACATTCTTAGAGGGCTTGTAACGAAGGTGGTGAATTCGTGCAAGCGTGACAAATTGGTTCCTGTGCAGTTCATACATTACCTGTGCTGATCTGATACCAACGCGCAGTACATCTTCAACGTTGTATGCTACTGTACAATCGCATCTATGCAATCGATGACAATTAAAACACATGAAGCTAGCGATTTCATTAAAGCATGAGACCCTCTGGTTGTACATGGTCGAGTTGACAAGTTTGTGAGGGAGAAGAGGCCGTCTCGCATCTGAAGAAGAAAATTGACTACTAGCGCCGCTAACACTAGCCACATCTGTATCCCTGCAGCTCCCTACATCTCCCAGTTCCCAGTCCTCGGTGCACTTCTGATACCAGCCCACGCCACATAATGAAGCATTCTGGACTGAAGTCAATACTGATGCTATGATCACTCCCACTCGGGCTCTCCCCAGCAGCAGGAAATGTTGCGCCGACTCTTCCGCCTGCCTGCCTTCCGTCGCCGTGCGCGTCGCACCCGACTCTTCACCATGATCGTCGTCTTCGTCACAATCCTCGCCTTCATAACACCATTCTATGTCATCTACAAGCCACCAAACATCTTGATCCGGTACTTTCAACATCGTTGGCCCGATGTCCTATGGCACGTGCCGCTCAAGCAGAAGATCATCGCACTGACTATTGATGATGCGCCTTCTCGCTTTACTCAGGAGCTTGTTGACGTGCTTCGAGACAATGATGCAAAAGCAACATTCTTTGTTATTGGCGGTCAAGTTCCTGGGAGAGAAGAGAGCCTGGCACGTGTTGTTGAAACTGGGAATGAGCTGGGAAATCATGCCATGCACGATGAGCCATCACGCTCCCTATTGCCACAACAGCTGGCTGAACAGTTAATCGAGGTCGAAGGCTACATCAACACCACATACGCATCGCTCGGTAAAGCAAGACCACCGAATCGTTTCTTTCGTCCTGGGTCAGGATTCTTCAGCTCCTCTATGCGACAGCAAGTCCAGGCCATGGGTTATCAAATGGTCTTGGGTAGTGTGTATCCGCACGATCCGCAAATATCGTATCCGAGCATCAACGCGCGACATATCCTGAGCATGGTGCGCCCGGGCTCGATTGTCATTTGCCATGATCGGAGAGGCTGGACAGTGCCAATGTTGAGAAAGGTGTTGCCTGGTTTAAAGAGCAGGGGCTATACGGTCACTACAGTGTCTGGATTGCTGGATGCAGAGCGGGCGGAAAGGGGAACTTGAGGGCAAACAACCTAGTTCTGAAGTCCGTGTCATTTTGTCTCTTTCATAGGAATGCAACTACAAATCTACCTCTGGAGGAAGATATAGTCACGATCCAAGGGACTACGATCAAAATTCGCTGTAGTTCGACAAAACCTGTATGGCCACTACTGGTGGTGAACAACCGATCGAAATGTCTCTCCTTTCCACCTCCCATGGCTATATCGATAGTCATAATCACCCTTGGTCATGCGCGGCTTGCGTGGCTCCAAGAGATGCTAAAGGCTATGAAGGAGTGTAGCATTCAAGGGTAAGTGACCAATCATAGGCGGACATGAGATAGAGAAGGTTTTGGCACGGACAATGAACATGTCAAGTTGCTAGAACAGAGCATTATTTGAGACTTAATACTCAATGTAAGCAATGTAATCATCTCACGCCATCTCCATATCGATTGATGTCATACTTTTGCTTACAATGCCTTCCTGAGCGCGCTTTTGAACGGAATGATCTCCACCTTCTCAACATCCCAAACACCTTCTTGCACGTACACGTCCTTCTTCAACCTCTCCACTACTTCCTCCCTCGTCTTGGCTCCAATCAACATGGCACTGCCCTTCATCTTTGGCGGGCCAGAGTCGCCTTCTTTGATAGGCTCTTCGAGCATAGCACCTGCATTCACACGTCAACGTCTACATTCCTCTCCAATCATCCATCCAGGACACACTGAAGCGAGAGAAATGAGAAACACGCGTACCTCCCCATAACCACATATCATCCCTATCACTCTTCAGACCTTCCAGATGCTTGGGCCTAGCTCCTAGGCGCTTGTCCAGTGCACCTTTGAAGTCTGGGACGATGACGAGCCATTCTTGCAGAGGAGCTGAGCTGGATGCCATTGTGCGTGCGAAAAAGTGCGTGCGACGAGGTATGCTGCGAAATAGAGGGCGGAGAGCGAGCATTCGATATGCTGGAGCCTACGTATCTCTTGTCAGCGGACTGTGGGTTGAAGTTTGATGCCAGTGTGGGGAGCATACTTTGTGATGTGTATCAGATGGATTGGCGGTTTTCAGAATATATAGACAACGGCTCGTCAGTCTTCTTGTGCTTGGTAAGGCGTGTCGGTCGCGTACGAAGTACATCCAGGGCGCGATACGTGGGGTTGATGTGGAGCTCGGAATTAAGCCGCGGCAATTGGAGTTGCAGGAACATCCCCAGCGTCAACGGTCGCTCGAAGACCCTTTGATGAATCACATGTGCCTTGCCTATGGCTCCGACGTTTCTAGCAAGGTATGTGGAAGTCGAGTGCTGCGAAGCGGCCATTCTGTGATTTCTTCATATTCTAAGGGGTGTACGCTTGCAATGTGACTACACACGCAAGGACAATCATTTCCCCACATGAAGAACTGCCTGTGTTCCCGCAGAAATAATTCACAGCTAGTATCCCCTCGTCATACTCTAGTACCATCCGGCTCTTCCAATCCCCTCGTCGCAAGGGCCTTGACTGTGACTAGCTAACCGCGTATACATCCGACTCCCAACATCTACAAACTGTTATCCGCCCTCTCCCGGACCATGCTTCTGGGTCGCAGGTTGGATGTACGGGTAGCAAGCCCGAGTTTCTCATACTACGTGCCTCTTGACACCTTCCTCCAGTCGCGCAGACAACGTGTCCCGACTCAAGTCTGCCGAACCGATTTGCGACCTCAACTTTTCCCGTATGACCCACGGCGGAGTAGCGTCGAAGGTCGGGAGCACTCGATGGTTGGGTATATGAGGACTAAGATAGACCTTAGAGAGGCTGCGAGTGATGTTGAGGATGCTGACGTGATTGAAGCGGTGGACTTGGCCGTAATTTATGACCCTCTGGTACTCTCTAGGCGCTCGTCTTATTATTGTCGCTCTTTCCGTGCGTGGAGCTTTGGCTGCTCAGATAGTCGTCGTGGAACGGCGGCAGCTGACTACACTATGTTTCGCTGTCGCCCGGCAATGGATTCCCCGTACTGATGAGCAGACCCTTAACACCACGATGTGTTTCTCTACCGCTCGCGGAAGCTGGTAAGGGCATCCAACCTGGAGCAATTGGGGTGGTGGTTTCTTTGGGGGTCCATGCACCCCACAATCTGTAGAGCTCGGGGAAGTGTCAAACACTATTCCTGCTACGCTACCCCACGCAATCGACGAAGCACATCTTCAGCCTCTGCCTTTCCTAGGGCACGCGTTCCGAATTTCACCTGCTCATCCTCAAGAATCCTTCAAATAGTCGATCAAGCTCCAGCGCCGCAAAGCGACCCGCCGAGACTCAAGTGAGATACCATTCTGAGATAATCTTACCCTTGATGCCACTTGAAAGAGAACATGACTCTCACAGGGCAAGACGAGCGCGGCCAACATACTCTTTGCCCCTCGACGGCTCACCCGCCTCCAACAACTCTCCAAAATCGCTGCCTCCGCGGCCACAACCACTGCCATGATCATTCACACGGACTGTCCGAGCGACGCCACAAGGCGAGGAATGGATATAAGAGACAAAAGAACAGGGAAGCTGTAGCACTGTGGGCAACTGCTCAGATTAGGGATAACTTGCCCTAGCAGAGCGATGCCACACATGGCTTGAGAACGCGCCGAAGCGACCGTCTACTCCACCTTTCTTGAGCTTGATCCCATCGACAATGGCGCGCTCTTAGAGCGACGAGCATGTGACGTGGCAGCCGGCTATACTGTTATACTCCAGCTGACGAGGATCTTTACGAAAGTTCTGTAGGGGAGGTCTGGAGCATCCAGCAGTAGCGCAACCCGCGGAGCTGAGCAGACGAATACGCGCCTTGTTGTCACACCAAAATCGTTTCTTCCGCACTATGACGCCGAGTACACAGGCCAAGTCGAGCGCTACAGCTATAGTCGAGCTGCAGACCTTGAGAAATCCCCGCGGCCAAGGGGTCCAGCCATACCGCACAATGCAGCTTTCATTATGCCCGCAAACGTCCGTTGACTTTCACGCGCCTCCAAGCTGGCAACGACGGACGTACACAGCAATACTTGGCCACGTCTTCAAACCCAGACCCGAAATCACACCATCAAGCGACAGGGAACAGTCGCGGAAACAGCCCGCGAGGATCAAAATCAGAACGCGAAGCGGACATGATGACTTGGAGAGAGACGGATATACGGGAAATGAAGGGGACAGACAGCATGGCAGATTGCCTGCATGTGTGTGAGCTAAAGGGAGATGACATACAAGGAGCGATGCCGACTTTGCAAGCGTCGCTTGAAGTCTTTGACAACACTATCAAGGATCGCCAGCCAGACCTCGAGATCGACATCGGGGGCGCCGACCGCAGGACATCCTTATTCGATCTGACACGGCACTGCTGCACCTCGACCAAACGATGTGAGACCGCTGCGAGCCGTCCTTGGCCCCGATGAACAGGCCACCGATTACAGACCCTCATGGTGCTTGTACATACGATCAACGACGTTTATACAGCCACGAGCTACTGTCATCATAGATAGGCGTTCGAGGCGCGGCAAGATATCGATTCCTGAAGTGCTCAGTCCGGCTCGGATGCGCGAAATTTTTCCAAGGTCTGGAATGCCTCGGCCTGCAGAAGCGAAGCCTCGTCCTTTCAGCCTCCATATCGCGTATAGTGCCACCCAACGTGCTGTCTGCAAACGCCGATCTTTGGGCATTATTCCAGAGCGCATCACAGCAGCAACGAAGGCATTGAGAGGTTACAATCAATCGCCTGTAGCAGCTCTTGTTTCTGAAGGTATTCCAACTCTTAGTGTTTGGCTCCTGCATACATCATCCAGGCTCGGTGATGGCGAGGATCGAGAGCGGGGCCGAGACGATGCAGCATCTACGCCTCTTCCTGAACCCCTTCGACATAAATGTACTCCGTCAACGTCCGGCCTCGCTTCTAAGAATCAGCCAGCCTGGGCACTGGCATGAGTTCATCCAGACGGCTCGCAATGCCTGACGTACGGTCTTCCAGCTTTCCAAGTTGAGTTTGCAGGAAGGTGGACCACTCGCGGATGTCCTGCAGCTTTCGTTCCACCAAAGCCTTCCGCAGTTGATCCTGTGTTCTGGGCGACAGACGAGAATGCTTGAGTTCCAAGCTCTTGATAATGCCATGATGCACGTTCATGCTGATGCCGATGTCGTCGGGCGTGTCGAGCAGGAGATCAAACTGTGGTGTTTGTGACCACATCCAGTCTTCAGTCTGTGGCCGTCAGTTCGTGCTTGGATAAATTTCCTTCGCTGATACGCACGCGGAGTTCGTCGTAACCCTTCTTGATATCGGGAACCTTGAGGTGGTCGGTGCCGACGGTCGCTACTACGTCTGCATCCCCAACAGCGGCATACATGTTGGCAAATTCTTCTTGCAGGCGTTGTTGGAATGGCTTGACGTCCAAGCCAATGTTGCCGACGGGTGAGCTCACGCTCTCGACGCCCTTTGCCTGTATGTGTCTCTTCGCGGGAGATCGCAGGTACCGTGGTATGATGTGGAGGTTGGGCGAGCTCAGCAAGGTTGTCGCATGGTGCAATGCCCTCAAGCGCGTGAGCTTGTAGGCAGAGCCAGAGACCTTGAGCGGCTTGGGCAGGGCGCCATCGGGGACGGTGTAGGGCGTGCGGTGCGTGTCCTCAGGGTCCGAGGGGAGCTTCTCGTGGCCTTGGTCGAGAACAATGTCGTGGCGCTCGTTGACTCTGGCGCGGTCGACGTTGAGTTTGCGCAAGGCGCGGACTACCATCTCGGCATGCCTGTCCCTCGTGAAGTCGCTGCGAGGGCACGTGACACTCCAATTGAGATTGCCCTCGTCGTGGAAGACGGTGCCGCCTCCGGAGCGACGGCGCACCAAGTCGATGGCGCCAATGCCTGGCGGTTCCGTCTCCATGTCCTGGGCGTTGCCGTTTCGTGCTGCGTGGAGAATGCCCAAATTGACCTCCGTCCACGGGTTCTGGTTGCGGCCGATGACTACGCATGGCCTGTTCACGTACATGAACAAGACGGTGCTGTGTGGCGGCGACTTCCGCAGTATGTGATCCTCAATGGCAAGGTTCAGATACGGGTCGTTGCTGGTGGAAATATAGCTCTGCAGCTTGTTCTTTGGGTCCGACAGCGTGTCCGTGAACGAGGCAAAGTTCCTGACGCCGCCGACACCAATGCATGATGCGGAGGAGCGCGCGGAAAGTCCCAGTCGAGCCCGCAACAAGGCCAGTCCCCTAGATGGTGCCATGCTCGCTTTCGCCGTTGTGGTTGTTGTAGCAGACATGGAGTTCAAGCTTAGGCGAAGCATTGATGCCGCGGAAGATTCCGAGCTTGCGGACTTCCGACCAAGCCTCCGAACGTCACTCGTTACCCGTCCCACATCCTCAGCAACAACAAGCTACCGCAACATGTTCGAGTCTGGAGATTGCGTTGCACGGCCAAGGATGGCGTCTCTATGTGTGCATCTCTCGTTGAAGATACCCCGCATCAGATGCACGCGACCCCTCAGGAGACAGGATGAAGTCTCTGCTCTTACAACAGACCAGGAGCATCGTGCTTTGAGATTTCGCATCCGCATCTCTGCATCTACCAAAAACCCCTCCTATACTCTCTCAAATGCTGCGGATTTCCTATCTGCACTTTGTGTTCGCATCTGTCACAACTTCTTTGTTGGTAATGATGAGCTCACTATATTTGTACTGAGAGCTGCACGTCCTTCGCATCCTATCTCGAGCATCTTGCTACACCTTTAGTCGTATTTTCTGTCTTTTGTGGTCTTTGCAGCGCAGACATATGCACCATGGTCGTGTCAGACATTTCTGCGCTCATTCCAAGCCGACTCGCGCTCTTTCACCGCCCCGTACATACCAATAAGCCCGGCCTCGTTCACAACAACAGGATGAAATTCTCTGAGCCTGATACTTCTTATTGGGATATCAGTTTCCATTACCGATCGTGGACAAAACCATCTGGGAGTTATAAGCGCCTCGATCCGCCATAATTTCATCATCTGTCAATATATACAATGTGTAAGGGAGTACTATTTTGACCGCTGTGTCAAAGGATATGGGTTATTCCTTTAGCCTTTTGCATTTGCAAGCTTCTCGCAGGCTTTCACAATAAAGCTTAACAGGCCAGCTGCGCACTTGTGTATGTCTTGCTATGCCAAGAACCACTCTCTTTACTCGCAGGCTCATACAAGCATTGCGAACATTTCTGTGGCCTGCAGTTGCTACCAGACGCTATCGTTTTCAAATCAGAAGTCCTGCGCATTAGCTCGTCGAGGAAGTGGTCGTTGCCTAGCAGCGTTTGATGCGACCTCGTTGTCTCGCAGAGCTTCTCTGTTGTGGCTCCACCCCACGATCCACTCCCGCACACACGTTCCGTACGCGGCACTCCATCTCCTTCTTGTTTGCCTACTAGACGGGAGGCGATGCTCTCCTTCGGTTGTATAACGCTTGGCTTTCTGGTTACCTTCAACAAAGAAGACTTGATAGTGTAGTGGTCCATTCACCCCCACTCTCCTCCAAAAACCCCCAGTTCGAATCCCGCTAACAACATTCAATAGTCGAACCCCTTGCTTTTGCCTTGCCCATGTCGCCCCCTTATTTCCTTTGTATTGCAGAGTTGCAGCTAACCCCAGGGATCTGTGACGAATTTCCCTGACAGTGTGATCGATGACATCATGGCGTCAGTCATAGGCGTCTTGATTAGAGCTGGTAAGTCCAACACTCCACTAGCACAGGTTAGGCTCTACACATCACTTCTTCATTTTTTGCATATTTATTTTAGCTGCCTTGGCTAACATATCAAAACTGCGCAGTTGCAGTCGCAGTCCATATGTAGTGATGAACAGCTCTTACAATGTCTAGTGAGGTGCTTCTGTACATTTTCAGTCTTGTTATTTGTACGGAGATGCATTGCTATCTGTCCTGTTAATGGGTTCGCTCATGTCCAATTTCTACTTCTGAGCTTCACGCTCGACTCGTCCCCTCCGCAATCCGCGCTGGCCACCCTCGAGGCTTCCGTCGCTTTTGCCGCTGTTTTTACACCACTATTTCCATCGTCACATTGTATAAAGCAGCACATTCTGGCGGCCGCGAATCGGCGTTCGTTTGCGTTGGTCGAGTAGCCAGCAGCCAACAGCAGATCGTGCTAGCACCGCCTCCCATGCCCGGTCGTTGCTGGAATTATGATGGCGTTAGTCGCACGTATTTCATGTGGGCATGAGTCGCAGTGCTGGCTACTTCAGTTGTGCAGGCTAGTGGGCCATGTACAGACTGCTGCTACGGTTCTTGGACGAAGCAGCTCGACCACTCTTCTATTGCGATATCCAGAGGAAAAATTCAAGGTTTCATGCAAGTAGTAGGAGCACTTGGTGCGCTACTTGAAATTGAAGTATACTAAAAGTCTAGGCGCTGGAACAACCGTCGATGTGCCACATGAGCTGCGGGTAACCTCCCCCATTACACATCGAAACATGCAATGTCAGAGTCTTGGATTGCCGTGCGTTTGCGCAGAGCACTTCCGAATCGACGGGGCTACCAGTTTTCTCTCGGGTACCTTCTTCGTCACCTTCTCCTGCCTTGATTTGAGTCTGTTCTGCTACTATCGTTGTGGTTGGTCAAAGGAAGGAGGCTAAAGAATATCCCGGCTGGCGTACAAGAAACCCTTAGGTTCAAAGAGAGCTGCCTAGCAAATACAGTGGATGGCATCTGTTTGACTAAATTGCGCAAATCTCACTGGTAGCAAAAGCACTCTGAGACATTACGCTTGCGTCATTGGAGGATTGTATTCAAGTTAAGGTCTTCATATACTTCTCCAGACTCAGACCCAAATTAACAACAAACTGCCATTGTGTGTTGCCTCGAAAGAAGCGGCACCATATGTTCAACACCGCAAGACCAAGTGAGAACGGCTCATGAGGTACTTCAAGACCCTCCTCAGTTTCTTCAAAGTCGGTCACAGCATACGCTTCCTTGATGATACATTGAACCCAATGTAAGATCCGATGTTCAGATCGCGACAGTGCCACCTCTTGAAAAGGTCTTGGTATTGAGCAAAGCCACTTTCCCAGGAACACAGCACATTCAAAACTCGAGATGGCATGCTGGACACTCCAGAAAAAAGCTTGGCTGCGTGCCACACGATCGATACCGAGACGAACGGGTATACTAAGCGCGTGAGTTGAGTACAATAGTGCGGAAAGCAGATTCTCGTTCCGCTCAATTTCTGGGAGCTCTGTGAGTCTAGATGCTATGATGTCAGCGTTGCGACTGTCCAGGTGGCGATGCGGTCCTATGTTGAGTGATAGCCGGACATACGCAACGACAAGCAGCGCGCTGGATGTGAAGGGGATGGGGCCGCTCTCGTTATTTGGATCCAGTATCGATTCTGGGGTCTGCTGCCATAGCGAGGTCCATGATCGGAGAGCGCGGCTAATGAGGTCTAGCTCTGTGGCTGATAGTGTCGCGGTTGACGAGGCTGAGAAGGACAGTTCGCGCACGACGTGAATGCGTTGTAGGAGTGCATGAAGGAGGATGTAGTTCCCTATAGGACTAGGGATAGGACGAACGGATTCAGCGCCTCCCGATCCTTGAAGCAAAATTGACAGCGCGTGTTGGAACAGCATTTGATTGTCTTTCCCGTCACGCTGCAAAGCTGCCCACTGTGCAGCACTGGAAGCTTCCCACTCTGATGTGCAGCAAGGTAGCCGCAGATGTAGTTCGCTGCTCCAGAGGAGGGGATATGTATCATACGCGATCGTGTGCACGTTGATATAACAGAAAGCTACTAGCTTCGTACGCCTAGAAGACTCTCGCTGGACCCATTGATCCCACATTGCCGATCTAGAGGTAGAGCCGTTCGTGTTGGGCTGTTCTTCACTCAGACCAATGTCACGAAGAGTCTGAACGAGGAGACTTCGGAGCACAAAAGCCTCTTGCAGCAAGTCTTTGCGTTCCCATGTCGCAAAGCCCACGAGAATGAGTACTGTCTTTGCCAAGTCCAGAGGTGACCAAGGCCCCGCGCGTCTGATGGCCGGAACTGCTCCTGAGGAAGGGCTGATGGTCAAGGCCAGGGCCTGGGAGCCGAAGTGTGACTCTTCTTGACGAAGTCGCTCAAGAACAATTGCCTTCGAAACACGAAAAAGACGTTCAGAGCTTCTTCGCTCGAAACAATACTGCGCACCAGCAGCACACATGGCTAATGTGAGCTCAAGTGGAGAGGACGAAGGTTTGTACGTGGGTGCATGTATGAAGGGGAAGTGAGAGTGAAAACCGCCAAAAAAGGCTGTTATGTATCGTGTCAGAGTATGCCGCGAGGGTATCTCGAAACTCGATATCGAAGAAGGGAGATTCTCAAGCATAGATATTAAGAAGTTCCTGTGTTCATCTGTGACATGATACGTTCCGTTCCTGGTTCGTCGCTCACGTACATCTATTGATATTGCTTAGCAGCGGTGAAGACGAGCACATGGAGACTTGACTGACCGTCACCTATGTCTGAAGCCAAACGAACTTGATCGTCAGCAGGAGCTGAAGGTAGCCACGTGCTAAATGGAGTTCCAATATCTTCGGCAGCAGGCGATTGTGCTCCGTTTGGCTCGGGTGTATGCCGCCGGGATGCTTGGTGTTGGTCATTGAAGCGCATCCAATCGAAATCGTACTCGGGCGTCCATTGGGCAGATAGTCCTACACCGTCAATGAAGTTGACAAAGTCACGGAACTCATCGAAGCCTTCATCATGATATGTTGGATGGTGAAATTCTGCATGGTCAGCGCTGGTTTGCGCTAGATCCACTGGAATGGACGAACATACCGGGCGCAATGAGATGAACATGTCCATCTTGAAAGGGAGCAGCAGGTGCACCTAGGTCAATCTGGCTCCGATGCACCTGCGAAACAAGGGTCCCATCTGTCGCCGCTGGGCCAACAATATTTACGCCATTCGGGGTGTTGCCGAGCGCGTGCGACAAGCTTTGGGGTTGAGCGGTACCTACTGTCGCTGAGCCAGACGATGCAGTCACCACATTTCTGGCGCCCGCATTGCCAGAATGCTGTGTGATGCGCCAATGCCTGGTCAATAGATCACGACGGGTGAATGCTGCCCCGCAGTGACATGCGTATGGCTTCTCTCTCGTGTCTGTGGGAGGATTTAGCTAATCCCAATGCGTGCCAAAGTGGGCCTCGTTGTGGGGTACAAACGTGTGCGGAGATGGCGGGTCAGGTGTTCTGCACGCTTGAAGCTTCTGGAGCAATGGCTGCACGTGTGGGTGAGTCTGTGCATATGGTAAGTTCGGTGAGCATCATGCCGTGGAGGAGGTTGGAGGTCTGTTGGAGTCGAGTGGCGGGCGCCTGTGGGTCTTATCCTCCTCATCGAAGCAGAACTTAGCGTCCTCGAATCGGCCCACCCACGGCGTTTTCGGCGCAATCGCGCCTACTCCGAAAGATTGCAGTGGGCAACTCCAATGAGCTCCATGGGCAGTACCGCCGATTATGTGCCGTCCCTGATTACATGGAACGGCATGGTTCATATCTTGGACATTCCATTCGGCCGCACCGTGGAAGCATACGAGCCAGTAGAGCATCATTATCCTGAGCCATGACATCGTTCTCGAGAGAGCTGCCTGGTGTAGCTGTCATCACAGGAGCTGGAGGAACTGGTATGCAATCCAGTTACCCTTTTAACCCTCTATCATCTACAACCACTGATGCGACCAAGGCATCGGCGCCGCCGTTGCCAAAGGTTTTGCGCGTGCAGGTTGTTCAAGGATTGCAATCACCGACATCAACCCGAAGACGCTCGCTCAGACCAGAGCTGCCATATTGAGCATCAACTCTGCCGCTCAAATACTGGACACGGCAGGAGACATCTCTGATGAGAAGTTTGTTGACGCATTCCACGACGAAACGTTCGCCAAGTTTTCGCGAATCGACTATGCCGTCAATTGCGCAGGAATACTAGGTGGAGATGTCATCAAGGCAGTCGAGATGACCATGGAAGCGTTTGACAGACTTAACAACATTAATTACCGAGGCTCATGGCTCAGTTGCCGCGCCCAATTGAGAAACATGTTGAAGCAGGAGCCGCTTCAGGAGCATTCTAAGCAAAGAGGCTCCATCGTCAATATTGCGAGCCAGCTAGGCGTTGTAGCGAGGCCAGGTGCTGGTCAGTCAACGTCTTGAGACGCCTTCTTTCCCAGATCTTTCTGACGGACAACAGCCGCATACTGTGCATCCAAAGCTGCCATTATCAACATGACTCGAGCTAACGCGATCGACTACTCGGAGAATGATATACGAGTGAATTGTGTGTGTCCAGGTGTGATTGAAACACCCATGACAACTTCTTCGAAAGCCATGGCAGAGGCGCTGAAACCTGCCATCGATATAGCACCCATGAGAAGGATGGGACAGCCAGAAGAAGTGGCTGATGCGGTACTCTTCTTGTGCTCGGCTCAAGCGTCTTTCATTCAAGGCCATGCACTTGTGGTGGATGGCGGCTATACAATAAACTGATGGTTTGCACCACTATGCGATCTAATTGCCAGGAAAAAAAATCATCCAAGCAATTATGGTTACCAGTGTTTAAAATTGCAACTTCTTAATATATTTCACAGTTTCGTTGGGTTCTTCAATCCTTGGTCGTGCGGCACGCCAATCCTTTTCCAGTCGTTGGCTGACTCCCATGCGTAGCCCGCATTAAGCATCTTTTGTTCTTGCCAGAGACCTCCAACGATCTGCATACCGACTGGCAGCAGGATGCTCGAGTCGTCCCTCGAAGCGCAAAACCTACTGGCAAAGACATGGCAGGATGACTGCTAGTTCGTTAGAATGTAGCCCCGGTGATGGTGATGCCCATGCTCGGCTTCAATGCGTCAATCGGTGCATCTCCGTGTTTCCACTCCACGTTTCGTGGCGCTACGAAAGGCGTTTGTAGGTCATTATGATCAGGTCGTACTCCTGGAAGAGCTTTTGATATGAATCTCGATTGAAGTTGCCGGCGATGTTCATAGTATTTTGTGTACAAGCCAGGATAGTTGCGCATGAGAGAAAGACCGTTTATGATGGTGTTCTTTGTGGATGGGCGCAAGAGTTTCTGGAAAGTCTCGGTTCGTCCATGGCCTGTCGTGCAGCTTCGTATGCTGTTGAGAAAAGCCCGCGCCGTTCCATGTGCATATCCCGAGCATTGCTAGAGTACCTGCAATACGTTGCTGAATGGTCCAGATGGCCGGTCCTTCCAGATGTAATGGCAAAGAGACCTCCTGCACCGTTTGCACCAAGTCGTTTGAACGATGAAGCAGCCCTCATGACGATAGCTTTGACATCTTCGTCGACTAATCGGTGTTCGAGTCCTTCAGTCAGAACACCTATCTTCATCCCATTGACGGATGGTTGTAGATTGCTCAAGTATTTTCCAGAGCCAAACTTTGGAGCACCTAATGTTCTATCATCGAAGTCATCTCGCCCGCTAATTGCGTCCAAGCATGACGCTACATCAGCGACACATCTTGCAATTGGGCCAGCATGGTCGTTGACTGCATCACCGCTGGAAATGCCAGTATAAGGAACAAGTCCATGAGTGGGCTTCAACCCTACACCTTCAAGTTGAACCATCAGCTGATTATCTCATATAAGGTCAGATCATACATACAACCACAAAAGGAGGACGGAACCCGAATGCTTCCTCCTTGATCGGCGCCAATAGCGATATCAACAAGTCCGCCGCCCACCACAGCGCAGCCCCCAGACGGTACTGCCACCCGCAGAGTAGCCTTTGGCGTACGGGTTATGAACCGTGCCTTGAGCGCTCTTCTTGTATCTTAGTAAGTAGGGTTATAATTGGTTCTTTTGCAGCTTACCGTGAATGATGAGGTTGAGCTTGCAAAAATTCTCGCATATGGTCGTGCCAACAATGTCGGCACCAGCAACCAATGCCCGACTGACGACAGTAGCATCAGCATGGGGTGTCCACGCGGGAATCGCATCTGTACCGAAGAATTGAGGCACACCAGCAACTGCAATGTTGTCTTTAAGACACACGGTCTTGCCTCGAAGCAGTTCTCCTGCACGACTACCCCGAATCAAAAACTTATGAGCCCAAGCGTGACCAAAGTCCTGCTCTCCTTCCGTAGGTCGATGGATTTGTTCACGCGGATAAGTTTTCGTATCTGTATGTGCTACATAATCCGGTAACTCGAGTACGTGCTCCGCCACGTCGTGGACCGCAGCAAGCAATTGCCGATATTGCCCTGATTCCTGTGGGGAGATGCCCTCAGTAACCCCAATGTTTTCTAAAAGTAGCTCTGCGTCACCAGCAGCCACAAGATCCTCTCTTCGGCTTTGTCAGTCCCAGCAAAGCTTTAGTCGCGTAGACATTCATATAGGTACGAACCTCATGGGCGAGTCGAAGAAGACAGACATTTCAACTGCAACGAATCGATGATGGGACAGATATTGAAGTTTCTAAGGGATCTTTCGATAAGTAGACAGTTCAAGCAGATTTTCATATATGCATCCTGAGCATCTGAAGTACAACTAAAATCGCAGCGCACGGTCTCCAAGAAACGCAATTGCAAAGTGGGTCTACAGTTTGTAATCGATCGGGTCTTCGTGGGCTGCTCTCCAAATTACTCCAAATCGGCGGCAGGCCTAGCTCTTTTGCTAGCCGAGCTCGAGCCTAATGCTAAGGCTGGTTTATTGCGCGATTCTTATTACCAATCTTCCTTTCATGGAAGTATGTAAGTACCTTTCTACCAAGGAGGGTATTTGATCAAAATTCAAGATTGTCAGATGCGACGAGATGCCTTGCTCGGCCACGATCTCAAACATGTTTTCGACCTCTTCCACACTAGCCACATAGCTGCCCTTGATGGTGAGCTCGCGAAAAACCATGACTTCGGAGTCGAACTGCCACTTCTCAGCAGGGAGGCCGAGTGGCACCATCACTCCTTTGTTACCCAGTTGCTGAAAGCTCCAAGCATTGGCTGGTACAGAATCGGTGCATACGACAATTCCAGCGAGACCTTCACCAGAAGTGAATTCCAGGATTTCCTCATCAGCTTTGCTAGCAGTCGAGTCGATGATTAATTCTGGCCTCAGGTGATTGGGCAAGTCCTGTGCAAGCTGCCGACCTTCAAGGTGATTGTCGATGGCCACCGTCTTGTATCCCAGGGCTTTCGCGAACTGAACGCACAAATGACCTACACCACAATGCCCACGATGGCAACTACCTCGCCAGCTTTTACATCTGGAGATAGCTTTTGTAATGCACCCCAAGCCGTTGCCTTCCTCTTGTGTCAGCATGTTCCTGCTTGACTGCAGAAGTACATACACCTGCACACATGAGCGGTGCTCCTTGCTCATATGATACCTTATCAGGAAGATGTACAGTCGTATTGGGATCTGCCAACATATACTGTGCAAACGCACCATGGTGTCTGAAACCAGCCATCTCTCGCCTCTGGCAGAAGCGCGGATCGGGGCGGGTCGCTCTCCGCGTGTGCTGACGACACCCTACACAGCTTCCACAAGCGTTCTTGAAGTTTAGGATGCCAACACGGTCTCCAATTTTCCATGATCCCTGGACTGCAGCACCTGTTTGAACGATTTCGCCAGCTGGCTCGTGCGATAGAATCATAGGAAGGTCCGGGATCGGAAATTGCCCATTCAGTACCTGAAGATCGGAATGACAAAAACCAGCTGCGTGGACGCGATCGAGGAGATCATGCTCTCTACACCGAGGCAGAGGGCGCTCGCGTAGCTGGTATGGCTTTCTATACTGGTTTCGGTGTCAGCGCATTTTGCTACATGGATACGATTCTTAGTGACGTCAAGCCATACCTTCACAATCTCGGCTGCCTGCATCTTGCTTGACATGACTTTTGTGTTTCGTCCGTCAAGGTGCTGAGTATTCAATCTATAGAGTAGTCATGGGGGGATGGTGTAGGTGCATTTGCACGTATACCTAGAAATTGGATAAGAGACTTAGTGGCGCTTGTCTTCCTCTCCATACGTTAGTTTAAATCTAGCTCCCCTTACCTCTTAATTTCTTCTATTTATGTGCTAGTAGATTATAAGCAGCTAAAGAAGCACTGCCTATAGGCCTTTTATTAAGAGACCTTTTAGATATAAATCTAAGTTAACTAAGTTTTCTACGCAATTTTATATCTATCTAGGCATAGTCTCTCTATAAAGAGGTAGGGCTAGTAGAGTTTGTTACCTTTAAGGTTTTTCTCTACCTAGTTAATTTTGTACTCAGCACCTTAACACCTAATTTTCTGTATGTAACGCACCTAGAAAATGCAATCCTGGTTCTAATAGAGTAGTCACAATAAATGCTACCCTCAGCACCGTTGTACTCTCATCTCATCCGCCGATAGCATAGTATTGACATAGCTTTCGATTTAGTTGGAGTAGGCCCAGTTCGTGACCAGAGTTGGAGTTAGAGTTGGAGTGATAAGATAAGTTAAATTAAGCGAGGCGAACCGGCGACCCATGCAGGTGCGGAGTCAACCACCTCCTCCATTGCCATTAGGCAGTTTGATGACGGCTGCCGCGCGATGGGCGCAGTAGCATCCCGAGGTCTTGAGCCACATGGATGCACCGGTCTAGTATTATGTACCAAGGTAGCAATAAGAAGTACGCGACGCCTTCGAGCGCCCACACTTTCCCATTGTCAAACCTGTTCTGGTCGCTTCACAGAATCGGGCATCAACCACCATATACACCTTTGAATCACCATGGGCAAGAAACGCGTCCTCATCTCTTACGGCGTCGACGTGGACGCAGTATGCGGTATTGACGCCTTTTGCATACCAACCGTCTGGAGCTGATATTGGTTCATAGGATGGTTGGGGTCGTATGGAGGACAGGACAGCACAAGCGACATCAGTCGAGGTCGTACGTACAGGCAATGCATGAACTACACATGAGATACACGCTGACTGGTTGAAATGAACTTTAGTCTTTGCTGGAACGGTTGGCACGCAAAGATTGTTAAAGCTCTTCGCCAAGTACAAGATCAAAACTACATGGTTCATACCAGGCCATAGTCTGGAAACATTTCCTGAAGACATGGCAGCTGTACGCGATGCTGGCCATGAGATCGGTCTGCATGGATATAGTCACGAGAATCCAGTAGACATGACCATTGAGCAGCAACGAGATGTGCTTGATAAAACATATCGCATGTTGACCGAGTTCGTTGGAAAGCCTCCAAGAGGTAGTGTTGCCCCATGGTACGTTGCAATTGAGGACATGCCATGATTGGTTAATTAACTCTTCCAACAGGTGGGAAACCAGCAAAGAGGGTGCTGAACTGCTACTCGCACGTGGGATAATCTATGATCACTCGATGAGGTTAGTTCCTGGTTATGAGATGTGTCTTTCGTAACGGCGATACTGACTTGTACTCCCAAATGTATAGCCATCATGACTGCCAACCTTACTATCTCAGGACCGGCGATGCATGGACCAAAATTGACTACAGCAAGAAAGCTGACGACTGGATGAAACCCCTGATTGAAGGTCAGGAGACTGGGTTAGTTGAGATACCCGCAAATTGGTATCTTGATGATCTACCACCGCACATGTTCATCAAGGCCTCGCCCAACAGCCATGGATTTGTTAATGCGCGAGACACCGAGGATCTGTGGCGTGATCATTTCGACTATTTTTACCGGGAGTACGACGAGTTCATCTTCGTAAGTCGTTGTTTTAAACAAATGTCTTCCATAAAATTGACACCTTTTGCAGCCGATCACCATTCATCCTGATGTATCTGGGCGACCACATCTACTTTTGATGCACGAACGGTATGACTGCGAACGATTCATTGAAGCATCAAGGCGTATATGTTGACATCTACTAGGCTGATCGAGCATTTTCTGAAACATGAGGGAGTTGAGTTTGTGACAATGGAGCAAATGGCGGAGGAATTCAAGAGGAAGAATCCGCCACCGAAAGGAGCTATAATGCCAGTCGAGGCTAAATGAGATTGGAGAAATAGTGATAGGAATTTGTCTACGGCGCCCAGATCAAAATCGACCATTCTTGACGCAAACCTCCCGTGTGTAAGCCCACATCGCCAATCCCGAATTGCCGTGCTCATGGGTGAATCTGTGTTGCTAGCGTGTCTATAAGCACTAGATTGCAGTTGCCAAATGATGACAAGATGCAATAGCTCAGAGCATAATATACGACCGTTTTGGCTGTATGGTAGAGCGAACTGCTTACGGGCCGATTACATCATGGCAGATGATGCGGAGTAAACAGCCGTCTCCTGACCGGGGACAACCTCTCCAATCAGTGATGTCCCGTGATCGGAAGCTCGAGTTTGGCGTTCCTTGAGCCCGACGCAGCAGCAGGGTCTGGGTGAGTTTCGACATGGAGTCACCCCTGTTCCTGAGTCGCTTAGGAGTTGGAGTCGCTATCTTGACACTAGTCTGTGACAGACCTCCAAAAAGATGGGTCTGCAGGCGTGTGCTCACACAATCTCCCCAGATTCCAAGATAGCGCTGGGTATCGAAGACGTGGGTCTTATCTTCCACGCGACATGTAAAGACCGTTGCGAGATATATTTATATTGTTGCGAATACTCATTCGTCCATTTTCGCAAATCATAGAAGTGCGTCAACAACTCTGCCATCACGTCTACCTCCAGTATGTCGGACGAAAAGCAACAAGACGTGATTGCGCCGGCTCAGAGCAGCACGGAAAGCATCGACATCGGAAAAGTCGACCTTGAGAATGACGGCGAGGTGTTCAAAAGAGGAGAGGGCATCGAAGACTTTCGAACTGTGTCATGGGTTCACACGTCAATGATCTTTCTAAAGGGTGCGGAAATCACAAGGCCTCCGTGACAATTGAATACTCACTGAATTTCCTTTAGTCATCTTCGCAACTGGGGTCTTAACCATACCGTCCGCCATGTACACACTCGGTGCTTTTCCTGGCGCCATCAACGTCCTCGGATGGCAAGCCCTAAACACCTGGTGTGCCCTAGTGTAAGGAAATCCATAGGCTGAGCGTGTAACATTCATTGACTTTTGCTTTCATTAAACAGGCTCGGCAACTTCAGGAACAACCATCCTGGCTGTCACAGTATCGCTGACATGGTACGTGGTAGTGTTCTACATCGGTATTTGAGACATCGCTGACTTCATGCCTCGACCTGTACAGGGCCAGTTAGTAGGCGGACGAGTCGTGAAGGAGATCAGCGGTATGCTGTTCCTGGTCGCATTCATCATTGTTGCCGCGTCTGGAATGGTAGGAGTGTCTACCGCTCTCAACGCCCTCTCAAACCATTCGTTGTGTACGAACTACTTCTCCATCGTCGCAGCCATCATGATCGCTGTGTGCGCGAGTGTACGTAAGTTTGAGAAGATCGCATGGATTACATGGGCCGGATTTGCTTCCGTTTTTATTGCCGTTTTCATCGTTGTGTAAGTTTACCCACATCAGATCGATCAACTCACTTCGGCTGATACTCCTGTAGTGTTGGAGTGACCACCCGCGATCGCCCTGCGGCAGCTCCCCAATCTGGACCTTACGAGTTCGGCTACCACGTTATTGCTCACCCAACTTTCGCTGCTGGCATAACTGCGGCCTCTACCATCTTCTGCTCTGGTGCAGGAACATCGGCCTTCCTACCAGTTATGTCAGAGATGAGGAACCCCAGAGAGTACAGCAAAGCCGTCAACTGGTGCATGGGCATCGTGACCGCCGCTTACCTGTCATTCAGCTTGGTGGTGTATAAGTGGTGCGGCAAATGGGTTGCGTCGCCTTCGCTAGGCAGTGCCGGACCAATGGTCAAGAAGATCGCATATGGCATCGGGTTGATTGGACTCTGCGTCAGCGGTGCACTATATGTGCATGTGAGCGCAAAATACGTCTTCGTCCGAATTCTACGAAACTCGAAGCACCTTCAAGCAAACTCTGCTGTGCACTGGGGCACATGGTTCGGATGTGTCGCTGCTATGTCCATAACCAGCTTCTTGATCGCATCTGGAGTACCCATCTTCAATTATCTCCTGAGTCTTGCGGGAAGCGTTGCATTTGCGCCTCTGGCGTTGGGTCTACCGGGCTGGCTCTGGATTTATGACCATGCCGACTACTGGAAGGGCACACTGTGGCAGAAGACGATGTACATGCTGCACGTTGTCCTTATTTTCATCTCGGCTTTCTTGACTATTGGCGGAACCTACGGAGTAATTGTTCAGATTCTTAACGCCTACAAGGACGGACTCATTGATTCTGCGTTCTCGTGTGCGGACAATAGCAACTCTTCGTAGGTATCTATCGCGGGGTGGCAGAGTAGGGTAGTTTCGAAATCGAAATTTTTGCTACAACGATATCATCTTTCGGGAGCCTCGCTATAGCGAAGTTGTGTTTCGAGAGCTCGATAACGTGGTCGTGAAGGCGATGCACATGTGTGCTACGCGCCCCCGGGTCCCCGCTCCCGCCTGGCACAATGACAGCACTACCACGCGGAAACATCGCTACCGGATCAGCATTCTTGATAACATTATTTAAGACGTGGCGGTATTGCTTAAATAACACATGCGCAAACGAAGCCTATACTTCCTTCGACAATTGGATGTGTGATTGGGGTTTCATGGCCCCGGAATACCTTAAATTCTTTTGGAGCATCCAACCGCTCGAACCATCTTGAATGAAATAATCAAGCGTCAGTCTTCACGATAAGCATGGCTGCAGTAAATGGACCTACAAATGGCACGAGAAATAGCCGCACCAAGCACATAAATCCTTCTGGGACACTCCCAATAGTAATCGCTGGCGGCGGCTGCGTCGGGCTCTTCCTCGCTCTCCTTCTCGCAAACTCGACTATTCCCAATAACATCATCGTCATCGAACTGCACACTCCGGATATTAACTCGACGCGAGCAATGGCGCATCAGCCCCCCACATACCCCATCCTATCTCGCATCCCAGGTTTGTTACCAGAGCTTATAGAAGCCGGAAGTCTGAGCTCTGGCCTGTGCTTTAGGACAAGTATTGCAAATGGGAGTACAGTAATCGCCGAGAAGCGCTTCCACAACGAGGGCGAAGGAATGAAAGGAAAAGGCCAACTATTACTGCCTCAGGGGAGATTTCAAGAAATTCTGATGAGGCGATTGGCTGCTGTGAGTGGGACATCGGAAGTACGCATTGGCTCGTCGGTGACTGGTTTCACGCAACATGGAGACTCTGTATCCGTCAATATTTCCAATCCCGATCAAGTTATCGAAGCGTCCTACCTTATCGGTGCTGATGGCGCACATTCCCTGATCCGCAAAACCCTTGGAATACCGTTCGAGGGCGAGACTCTTGACGCCCAACTTGTCGCTTTAGATTTACGCTTTCCATTCTCCAAACACGGCTTCCACGACGCGAACTTCATCATAGATCCAGTCAATTATGGACTTATCGGGCGTATATCGCCAGCTGCTCCGGCTGACACCGAGTTGGCCTTGTGGCGTGTAAGCTATGGCGCGCCTTTGGGTATGTCCGAAGCCAAAGTCAGGGAAAACGTACACGAGAAATTGAAGGCAATGCTGCCTAACGCTGGAAAAGTTGTCAATGACGCGACGGAATACGAGATAGTAAGGATAGCCCCGTACAAAGCGCAACAATTTCTTGCATCGACACTGTACAAGAACCGAGTGTGCCTAATTGGAGATGCGGCACACTTGACGAACCCATACGCTGGACTCGGATTGGCATCTGGCATCGCGGACGCGGCATCTTTAGCGGAGGTCCTGCATCAGATCTTGACGGGCAATGCAAAAGACGAGGAGAAGCTGTTGAACGCTTGGAGTGGGGCGAGGCGACAAAAATACTTCGATGTCGTTGACAAGCCGAGTCGCATGGCGTATAAGAGGGTGCAGAGCGACATCAGTACAGATGACAAGCTCAAAGAGCTATTGAGTCGGGACCCAATAGTTGCAGCCCTGAAGAGAGGTATGCCTGTTATGCCACCAAGCTTGGAGACGAAAGGAAGTGACCTGGAAGGATGGTAGAGAAGGAATACACGTGATTGAAGAAAGCATTGATGTTGAATCCGTGGTAAAATTGGCAAAGAAATACCGTCATAATCTGCACGTCCTCGAATTATTTAAACAAGACCTAGTTGCTTTACTGCTATATGAGCATATCACTACGTCGATAGTCCCGAACGCCCGAATGGGCATCACCTTGATTCAACGCATAGCGTCGAAGCTTGAATACGCCACGAAGCGCTTCTTTTGACACGGAGTTCTTGTGCTTGCCTTTGTGTCTGATTGCGAGACTAAGTCCAGACAGGGCAGGACTGACCTAAGTAGATTAAGCGCTAGAACGAATCAGGCGCTAGCATAGAATGGTGCAATATGGGGCGAGCATGAGTCGAGAACTCCATTGCCGCAAGCGCACGGCTGTTCTCCGTTTCTTTTATTGGCTCAACTGATCAGGTTGCAAAAATCGCCACCGGCTTTTGTGTGGGGTATCCCATCTCATCACGCTTACGCCAACATTTCGAAACACCAGTTCTCGTCAAGCCACGAATCGTGACCCTTGCATCCCCGCAATAAATGAATTCGCATGACCGAACCTTACAGGTCTAAGCAATTCGTTAATATGCCCAAGCAATCTATACCGCACGGCATTTCTTCATTTCCTGGTTGGCGATGCCGCATCTAGGACCTCGAGATGAGCGACCGGGCTCTTTTCGCTGCAGGCTTCTTGGAGGACGGAGAAAAAGGTCCGTGGCCTTAGATGACCTGTGACGAAGGGCAAATTGGTATAAAAGTATCGTTGTGTCCATCAGTGGTGAGCTACAAGCACACAGGACAAGTAACAACAGAAATGCTTTTCCCAAACTTACTCGCAGCGACTGCGCTGTTTGGTGCTGCCTTTGCTGCGCCTGCAGAGGAGAAGAGACAGGACAAGAAACTTCAGTGGTTCGGTATTAACGAGTCTGGCGCAGAGTTCGGAGAGAAGAACTTCACTGGCGTCTATGGCAAGGAGTACATATGGTATGACTTCAAGACTATTGATCAATTCATTGATCAGGGCATGAACATGTTCCGCCTGAACTTCTGTAAGACAATATCAATCTACCGGATTCAGAAACGACGAATTAATTCGCTTCAGTGATGGAGCGCCTAACACCCAACAAGCTCGATGGTGCTTTCGATCCCCTCTACCTGGGAAACTTGACGGAGCAGATCAAATACATCACTGCCAAGGGCAAGTACGCGATGGTGCAGCCGCACAACTATGGCCGCTTCTATGGTAACATTATTACCGACACTGCGGGCTTCAAGACGTGGTGGACGAATGTTGCAAAGGAGTACAAAGATAATGAATTGGTTGTTTTCGACACCAACAACGAATTCCACGGTACTTATCATCCCCGATCTAACTTGATGTGCGCGACATACTAACTTCAATTTCCTTAGACATGGACCAACAGCTCGTCTTCGATCTCAACCAAGCCGCTATCGATGGAATCCGCGCTGCCGGTGCGACAAAGCAATACATCACCCCCGAAGGCAATTCCTGGTCCGGCGCCTGGACCTGGATCTCCTCGGGCAATGGCGCATCCTTGGTCAGCCTCAAAGATCCGCAGGATAAGCTCGTCTACCAAATGCACCAGTACCTCGACACAGACGGCAGCGGTACATCCGCGAATTGTGTCAGCAGCACGATCTTCAGCGAGAGATTAGCGGCTGCCACCAAGTGGCTCAAGGACAATAAGAAAGTCGGCGTTATCGGAGAGTTCGCCGGAGGTAACAACGAGCAGTGCATTAGTGCTCTGAAGGACGGATTGAGCTATATGCAGAGGAACGGAGACGTGTGGTTTGGCGCGATTTGGTGGGCGGCTGGGCCTTGGTGGGGGTGAGTACATTTGTTGAAGTTGAAAGAGAGAGACTGACAATGCGACAGTGACTACATTTACAACATGGAGCCGTCTACTGCGAACCCTGCGTGGACGACGGTTCTGCCGGCTATCAAGAGCTTCTTCGTCTAAGCGGCACTGGAAATGAAGGCACGATCGTGACAATTCACTGTAGATATCGATTGGCTTCTTTGTATATATGTTTTCTTCGACCTTGAGTTTTTCTCATCGATCCGTCACTAAAAACAATCCATCGTCGCCACACCTGCACACTTAAGCCTTCCCCTCCCACGCCTTACTCAAGTACTCCTCCACCCCTGTGAACTTGTACTCAGGGAAACGCTTGTTGAACTCATCACTCACGCCCCATGCGCCCCTCCCCATCGCCACAAAAAACTCAATAACGAACGTCTTCGAAAACTCTTCCCGACTCTCCACCGGGATAATTGGATGATCAAACACCGGCACCCAACTCGTCTTCAACTCTCCTCTTTGAACATCCTCGCTCTTCACATACTCCACACTCCACTCACCACCCCTGATCTTCTTCCCAAGCGCCAAGATTTCGTTGCTGGTAGTCTTCGCACCCTGGATACCACCAATGACTGGCCACGGCCTAGGATCGTCCAGCGCAAGCGCCAAGACCTCCGAGATATCAGATATAGCAGTGATTACGACAGGAATCTCGCCATCGTCCAGTATCATCGCGCGCCTGTTCTCCAGATCCACGAAGAAAGTCCAAGTGAACAGGCCAGGAGTCAGTGAGTGCGGGTGCGCGAAGTAATCCATGAACACGCTGGGTTGGAAGAGACAGTACTCCAGGCCACCTAGCTGGTCTTTGGGCCTTCAGATCGGCGAGGTAGGATGCGAGTGCGTCTTTATTCTTGTACGGCCCGACGCCGGGAGTTGTTGGTTAGTGCCCATTCTGAGGGAGCGAAGCGGCGCACGTCGGCGGCGATGCATGCGTGGATAAGATTCTTTTTGCACGGTGTTGTTGACGTCTTGGTGGGCAATTAGGAAGGAGAGACAGGTGTGGAAGCCTTTGAGTGTATTCGTGAGGCCGGGTAGGTCCTGGTAGTCGACTTTTTGGTAGGTGAGGCCTGGGATGGGATTGGAAGGGGTACCGGAACGAGTAAAAATAGTGATTTCGTGTTTTCCAGAGCGGATTGGGGCGTGGAGGAGGTTTTTGGCGACGTCTGTGAAGTGTTAATCATAAGGTGGGGTGGTTGAGGAGCAGGAGGCTGAGTACTTCCTGTACCGCCGACAACCGCGATTTTGACCATGGTAGTGTATTGTTCTTGCTACCCCTGAAATTGAATTGCAAAGGTTGAAGTTGTGTCGAGGGTGGGTTGATGTATCTTCTTATGAGAGAAAGGCAGTAAGATCTGCTTTAACGTTCTTGGTAAAGTGGATCATGCAGCAAGGCGTATTACCGGGATTCAGGCCTGACTCCGCAGAACCTCCAAGACTACTGTCTGGTCTCGGTCACTGATAAGTCATGCTCGGATGTGTGTTTCATCCGTCTCTGGTCGTCGTGGGGGGCCTTCGTATGCTTTTGGGTTGATGGTCTTTGACTTTAATGATGAATCTAGCACAGAGCAGCCTGGCGGCCGCAATAGCACCGATAGCATTACACGTCTCCGCACACCTCGCAGTAGCATACAATTGAGGACAGCAACTTTTGTACCGACATTTGTAAGCTGCGCAACAAAGCAAGAGACAAGCCCCAAGTATGCTTGGTGTGTAGGTACAACGAGAACCCCAAATTCTACCACAGGATTGGTACTGGTCATCGCGAAGGTACACATGGCTAAGCACAGATGCAGCATTCGTACTTGCAAGTCGTAAAACATGGGAGGACTATGAAAAACTGAAGTGCCCCGACTCAATTGGGGACAACATGGTGTATTGATCACACACTGTGGTTCTTCCGCGCCGGAAGAAAAGACGATCACGCATCTATGAGCGGCACATCTGGCAGCGGCTTCTCCGGCAATGGCTTCGTCGGTAATGGCTTCATCGTGTCCAGATCATCGGTATACTGAGGAGGTCTCGGACTGCTGCCCTCATCGGGCTCGTCTCGATACACCCCATTCAGCAGCGCGTTTTCCTCCTCTTCTCTCTCTCGCCTCAATTTGTCCCAGACATCGTCCATCCCGTCCCATTTCATTAGCTCTCGCTGCGCTTGGACCCAGAAGAAAAGCCTGTAAACGCCGTAAAGCGCGAGAAGCCCGCCGACGACGGAGAACGCAATGATTGCAACCAGTTCCCATAGTTCCCAGTGGATGAAGTCGCCAAATAAGCTGCGTAGAGTTCCTGCTTTGCCGTACTGGTTCCACTGCTTGTGGATGTAGACGAGTCGACCCTCGTCTTCCCAGACATCGTTCCCAAAGAAGCGCAAGATGCTCTGGTGCAAGGAGAGCGGTTTCAGTATGGGAAACTTGTACTCCCTGTCCACCAGCTTTACGTCAATGATACGATAATCGTAAATGGTCTCATCCTCAGCGATGGGGCTGAACAAAGTGTCTTGTCCCTTCCTCGGGGCTCCAGTATCCACTGCCACGCCTTCTACTACGACCTTGAGCATCTTTTGTTTGGGGTGATCAAAGCCCCGCTCTGAATGCCTGACGAGTGGAGCAGAGCTGCCAATCGCGTCAAAGCCGAACTCCCAGTGTTCTGCCTCGGCTACGCTGTCGTCGCCGTTGTACTCAGTGCGTTTCTTTGTGTAGAGGTAGTCGATGGGAGGCGTGTCAAGCTGAAGCTCCCAGCACCATGTCGTGCATTCGAAGGACATCTTTCCGCCTGACCCGCATGACGGGTTGTGGCATTCCAGAGCAATGGACAGATTTGTATTGGAGAAGTCAGTGCGGACTTGGGGCACTTGGATCTGCGGCGGTGTGGGAATGGTTGGTAAAGTTGGGAAGAAGGGTTGATTGTTCAGGAAGACGGTGCGCTTATCGTTGGAGAGCTCGATGTTGAATAGCTGGGCGCAAAAGTAAGCCTTTGTGTCATCTGGCGGTGCAAATCAGGAGCCCACCAAGTCATTATCTTCAAGCACTATTTCTGGCCCGCTGGGCATCGCCCTGTTCGCATGCGGGCAATCGTAGCACCGTATTTTCGCAATGTAGAACGAGCCGCGTGTGACGGCAACGACATCTTCGATGGGCTGTGTGCAGGGCTCTGTGTGTGAGCTGTGGTGATCCTGGCACTCAGTGGTGTTCAAGTCAGTCGCACCAACGGCGCTCAGCACCAGCGACGCGAGCGACAGGCCGTATAATACAATCATGGCCGGTGGTGTCGAGGACAATGCGCCCAGTGCTGATGCGCGATCAGCGCAGTTCGCCGCGGGCATGTCAGGGGCTTAGCGTGGGATCCTCGAGTCGCCCCACGGGACCATCTTCCCTCTCATGATTCTCATCGTCTTCTTCTCCTCATCAGCCATCACCGAGACTAGATCAGGAACCAATCTGCATGAATGGAAGCATGTCAATGGACCCATAAACTTGAGGACGCTAACAACATGGCTAATGAGCCTGCAACTGTCACTACTACACCCAATCCCAGGTAGTAGTTCATCGCACGGCAAAACATAATCTCTTAACTAGGCTACTGCATCCTACGTGTATCGTGTCGGCCTTTGCGCTCCATGCCTGCGTTTCTGTGCCGATCGCAGAGCAACAAGACTGCTCATGTGACGTCATATGAAGCCACTCTCCAGAAGCAAGCATAAAGGCGATGCAACTTATTGGGATTCGTGATCCTACTCAATCACACAAAAAACATATCGACAAAACCGCATCTACCGAAGTCTTTAGTCAAGCAACTGTCCGTCATGTCCAACTCCAGCTCCACCTTCCAATCATTCAGCACATCCTACTCGTCGAGCTCCGTCAACGGACAGACCAAGTCGCACAGCGAGAGCACATACTCCGACCCCAACGGTACTCGAGTGCACCGCACAACACAGAATCTTGGCGAAGTGGCCCGTGAAGAGCGCTTCGAGGTCGACAATGCTGGACTCAGGGTTGAGAGTGCAGGCACTGGAAACGCACGGAAGATTGAAGATGTGACGGAAGAGGAAAATCAGAAGAAGAACGAAAGGAAGTATGAGGAGAGAATGGAAGACGAGTATGCAAAGAGGGAGGGTGGTGCTTAAGCATTAATGGAACCGTAATTGGTATCTCACTCGCAAGCTGTGTTGGATCTGCGCCACGGATGTGCGTACCAGCAGTACGGCCAATAATACAAAGTGGTTTACTTTTCGATATTTCGCCATTGCAGCTTTTTTTTGTTGCCTCAGCTGGCGTAAAGCTGTCGCGTGGAGGACTTGCGCATCGTATCGAAAGGGAGCTGCACATCCGGAAGATGAATGAGTCTTCTTCCCGGATCAAGGTCGCTTACAAAGTATGGTTGTTCTGCGAGGAGTGTCAACGAGTATGAGTAGTTAAGGCTTAACACGTCTAGACGCATCAATGATGCATGTGCATCTTTAAGATTTCTGGATTACGAGAGGGCGAGCTTCCACCAAGTGCGGAACAGTTCCTCCGGGTCAAATTCTCCAATCCTACAGGCTTGATTACCGTCTCCATCCTTTTCGAAAGAGTGTGTAGAGGTGTCATAGCGCTGCAGTATCCGTGTGGAACTGGAGTATCCGTCGCACGTGACCGGTGGGCCTGCACAGCCTGTAACAGCCGTGTATAGCCGTCCCATATACCCACCGCTCCCAGCAGCAAACGTCTGCACCTGACTGATTTTCTCCGACTTAGACACCTAGCGTTCTTTGTCATGTCGGGCTCACGATCGATTGCTCAAAGTTTGCTGGGTATTGCGGGTCATCCGGATGATGGAGGCCCAGTGACCTGTACATAAGATGGCCTTTGTGTGATGTTCCTGCATATTTTTCATTGTCACGACATACCCCTTCTGTGCCAATGTGCTCATCTCAATAACACTTATCATTAACCATCGCACCGCCATCGCCATGGAGTTCTTGCTAAGCGCTCTGCGGTCGATACTGACATCGCCGCTCCTTCTCATCTCGTCCATCTTTGGACTGCTCTTTGCCTATGTTAGTGTAGAAGCTCCTAAATGCTAGGCATTAACTGACTCTCTTGCAGATCTTCGCTATAATAATCTACCGTCTCACATTTCACCCACTTGCAAAATACCCAGGACCTTTCCTCGCCAAAATCACCGATATCTACCTAGCCTACTATGCATACAAAGGAAGCCGCCATCTGGCTTTCCACCGTGCACACGTCCAGTATGGACCTTATGTACGCCTTGGACCCAATTTACTCTCAGTCAACACTGCGACCGGTCTGAAAGCCATTTATGGCTTCCGCAGCAACGTACGAAAAGCGAGCTTCTATGAAGCTTTCCCGAGCACACCAAAAGCGGTTAGTGTGCACTCTGCCATCGACAAGATGCAGCATGCACGCAAGAGGAGAGTCATGAGCCATGCCTTCAGTGATTCAGCGATCAAGAGTTTGGAGAAGTATATTCTCGCGAACGTAAGAGTGGGATGTGAGATGCTTGCAAGGAGGTCTGATGGCAGTGTTGAGAAGCGAGCGGATGACAAAGGCTGGAATACCCAATGGAACGCAGCACACTGGTGCGAGTGGCTAGTTTTCGACATCATGGGTGACTTAGTCTTTGGCAAAGCATTTGGCATGCTAGAGAGTCCACGCAACAGATTCGCAACACAGTTGGTGAGTAATGCCGCGCACCGACATCTCATCGTAAGTTCTTTACTTTCCGTCTGAAGAGATGCATTGCTGATTCTTCCAGTGTGGTACTCACCTCACCATCCACAACTGGCATCTTGACAAGCTCTTCTTCCGCAAGATCGCTGGCCAGCGAGCACAATACATGCAATACAGCAAGGCGCAAGCTATGGAGCGAACCAAGCTTGGTCTTGACGTCGACCGCAAGGACTTTTTCTACTACCTCCTCAACGCCAAAGACCCCGAGACTGGCGCAGGTTTCAGCATGGACGAGCTCTGGGGAGAGTCAAACCTGCTCATCATCGCTGGCTCAGATACCACCTCAACCGCCATGGCTGGCACGTTCTTCTATCTTGCACACAACCCCATCGCTATGCAGAAGCTCTGCAAGGAGATCCGCGAAAAGTTTTCAGACGTGGAGGAGATCATTACTGGACCGAAACTCGGTAGCTGCTCGTTCTTGAGGGCGTGTATCGATGAGACGATGCGCATGACACCTCCAGTGGCCGGCGCCCTACCCCGCCAAATTCTCCCTGGCGGCATGGAAATCGACGGACACCACATCCCCGCTGGCGTCGATGTCGGCGTCCCCATCTACGCAATTCATCACAACCCCGCGTGCTTTCCCCGTCCGTTCGACTACCTTCCTGAGCGCTGGCTCGCAGATCCCTCGGCCAACCCTTTGCATGATCGTCTTCCAGATGCACAAGCTGCGTTCAACCCTTTCAGCATTGGACCGAGAGGTTGCATTGGCAAGGGCCTGGCGTATGTGGAGTTGACGGTTACGATTGCGCGGGTCTTGTATCTGTTCGATATGAGACTTGCTCCAGGCACGAGTTTGGGTGCTGGAGGTAAGGATCTTGAGCCGGGTAGGACGATGGCGAATGAGTACCAAATCATGGACGTTTTTGCGAGTAAGAAAGATGGACCCATGCTGGAGTTTAGAGCTAGAGAGTAGACGCGACCTTCCTAGAAGGAATACGCAAAACGAAATTTCATGATGTTCATTGCTGCTCAGGTATAATTCGGGTCCAGGAGACTTCTCCCTGAGTCATATTTCGGACATGGATCGTGTCTCGATGATCGTCGACTTAAAAAAACAGTCACGCTACACAATGATGCAATTTCTTGACAGTGTCGTGTTCTGCGTCGGAGAAGGACTGTAGACGGCGCACATGTGTTCGCGTGTGCTATCGATAAGGAACTTGACAATCTAGGCATGTGCAAGCTCGGAACGTTTCCTGTATAGTCTTCCATCAACTCTGACTATTACCATATCAAGAGGTATCTGTCAAATCACCGGGGCTTCGCTACTGTTTTGAAGCACTCAATCGAACACATAGTCGTATGCGACGATGTCGGTACCCAGAACGATACTACGTAACAGCAGCCAGGCCGCCCGAAGCTTCACGACACGTGCTACGCGGCTGACCAGCCTGTCAAGCAGATTATCTGTACCATCAAGACAAATCGCCACATCCTCAAAACTACTAGATGAGAATGTTGAAACGTCATCACGCGGGCAGGATGTTCCTCATACTAGCTTTACAACCCAACCATCGGGCCATGCCCGGTCAATCGTCCTAATGCGATTGAATAAGCGAGCCTCACCATTCGAGATCGAATCTTTCCTGAAAAGCAAGGGACTTGAGATGTGTGTTTGCAATTTCACCACTGTTACGACCCACTCTGTCACGAAGCTCATAACAAATGCGCGCGTTCTAACACTTAACAGAAAGAAGTGGCAATGTCGCCTCGATCGCTTCACCTTTCAAAACGATACAAGGTGCTTCATTGAGCTTGCCACCGAGGAGCAAGCTCAGAAAGCTATTGAAGCGTTGAATGGAATCGAGTTTATGCACAAAAGCATCGTTGTAGCACCTATGAAAGATGGCTTTGTGTGGGCAAAAAAACCTGAATCGTCCCATGACAGCTACTTCTTTGACGTCAACGAAGTCAGTCCGTCTGAGGCACTCAAGCCCCTACTAGAGGAGCGACGCCTTATGTTTTCAGTCCAACCTCCAGGCTGGGGCCCGAAAATTGGAGGGTCTGGCCACAACGATATTGCTAGGCATCACATGGAAAGACATCTCGGCCAATTTGGCATCACTTGTTTCAGTAAGCTGGCTCCTTTCTACGGAGACCTTAAGCAAAGGCCACGAATGCTCTGCTTCATAGACTTTGAAACAAAGAGTGGCGCCGATCAAGCTGTACGAGCTTTTGACGACAAGGAAATGGAGGGATGCAAAGTTCGGCTCCAACCATGTAAGCTAGCACCGTGGAGAGCTCATCAAGTTGGCAAGGTAGACAAGGCTCTACTAAGTCAGCTGCAAGAGAAGGGTCTAGCGTCGACAGAGCCATATGAGGACAAATTTGTCAATTCAGATAGGACAAAGGGTGCGAAGTATCACAAGATGACACAGACCCAGCGCATGGAAGCTATTGCGGCTGAGAAAGAGAACGGAGGAAAGAATGCCAAGGAAGAGGGAACAAAGAAGGAAGCGAAGGTGACAGAATAGATGTACCGGAGTATTTGGGTATGTTATCATTCCTCGCATGGTTGACGTTTGAATCCGCTATTTATGGATCTGCCTTCCAAGAGTCATCGTATGGATAGAAGATTGTACAAGTACCGTTACTGGTAGCATTAGTGTGCCGCTGATTCGTTACAACGTCTGTCTAAAACCCTCCTGTCCTTCCAAAAATCTTTTCACCACGACCAGCCTTCCGGTTCATCCTTGAGTAGAAGTAGAAGTTCTTCAAGACGTGTAAGATGCTAAGAACCTGCGTCGCAATGACCACAACCATTGCCGGACTAGAAACACGTTAACGCCGATCTCGCAGAGTTGCAGACAACGTGAATGACATACGTGTACTTCGGCGCATCCTGCTGTCGGAAGATGTTCGAAGCTGCAATACCCCCACAAGCGCCACCTCCGATCAGCAATGCACTTGCGATTGATCTTTTTGTTTGACCGACGATATTATTATGCATGTAGCTCAATATGCTCGGCACGTTCGCATTCGCGCCTGACACGCCCAGAAATACGCCAGCGTACCTCACTCGCGCATTTGACACGTATGCCATCAGGCAAACGCCTATCGCTGCCCACACACAGTTGAAGATGATGATTAGCCCTCTCTTTCGATAACGATCCGCTACCCACGCAGTCCCAAACATCCACGCCGCAGCGAGTACGTATGGTGGGAATGTCAGAATTTGGCTCATGGCTACCGAGTAGCCCATGTCGCTCCGCAAGATGATGGGGAGGAAATAGCTCCAAGAGTATGCCACTACGTTGTTGAGAAAGTAGAGCCATGCAAATTCCCAAATCTTCCAGTCGCGGAGGTGATATGCAATGCTAGACCATGTCATCTTCTCAGCAATGGCGTCGCCTCGGTCACGCTGGATACGGCCCAGGATGATTTTGGATTCTGCAGCGGTGAGGAACGGCTTCCCGGTTATCGGGGATGGTTGCGTTGCCTTATCCGGAAATGATATTATAGTCACGTAGCCAAAAAGACCGAGGAGAATGGTAATTACGCCTTCCTGTGATTCCATCGTCCAGACGTCAGCTGTTAAGCACGTAGAGTAAAAAGAATAACGTACGATAGCGAAGATCCACTGCCAACCATTCAAGCCTCCCAAGCCCTTCATCTCGCTCAGTCCCCAAGCCAATATATTACTGAAGCCGCTCGCCAACAACGCAAGCAGATAGAACCCACTAAATCGTTTCTGTACTTCAAACCTTACATACCAACACGACAGCAGGAACACGCAGCCAGGATAATATCCAGCTTCCAGCACTCCAAGAACCACTCGACAGCCCAATGCTTCAAGCCAAGTCGTAGTGAAGCCCATTCCGATCGTCACCGCCCCCCAGCATACGACGAGCGATGGCAACCATACTGCAGGTCCAAGATAGCGTATGAAGATGTTCGCAGGAAACTGAAAGATGATGTACGGTATGAAGAATATCATCGTCAAAATCGAATAGCGCGAGCCGACAGAGAGTTGCAGATCGACGTCCATGCCGGCAATTCGTGCGTTGGGCAGATTGACGCGGTCGATGAGTGCAAAGGCGTAAATGACCGCGAGTGTGGGTAAAAGACGAACGTCGATCTTGCGGATGATTCGACGGGTTTCTGCATCGTCACGTTCAGATGGGATGGAGGTGTTCGATGTATCGATGATGTTTGCAATGTCTAGAATGTCATTTTTGTATCTTTGATTATGCGAGTTGAAAGAGATCTGCCGTTGTCACTATGGTGTTGGCGAAAGAAGACCCAATAAACAGACTTACACGCTCTTTCGTCTCTGGTTCCAGATCAATCTCCTTTAGGAACATTGTAAATCTTGTGACAATTGGTGAATATAACAAACATCAAGATTTACCGGGGGATCCCACCTTATTATACATGTCCATGTTTGCCTAGTCAAGAACAACAACGTCCTCCCCGCATATCTGCGCAAAATGGCGGGGTGAAGTCCGATCCTCGCTTGCCACTACGTCACTAAACCACTTCACACACTTGTTCATCATCTAACTTGTCCAAATCCCCACATATCGCGAAGCGATGCTCTGTGATCTCGCCATGACTGGTAGCTTGGCTGGCGTCGATAGCCGCCGTCAAACCAGCGACTCGGCTAGACCAAGTCAATAGCCGAACACGAAAATGAGGTGCTGGAAGGATTGGTTTTTGCAAGAATTCCATACAGAATATGCTGTGCGCCGAAAAATGCCGATGCTGATGCTATGCTATGCTATGCTGTGATTCACCGGAAGATGTACAGTGTGAATGTTTACTTATGGTATCAATCTTCCCTCTCTTCTTCTTACATAAGCCTTCTCCGCCTTCCACTATCAACACTGACAGTGTTGTTTGGCCCAATGCTAATGTTCAGACTCTCTGTGTCGTCGTCGCTGTGTCCTTTCCTCCGTAACGCTCCTCCTTGGCTTTTACTCCGTGAGTGATGACCATCTGGTTGAATAACTAGCCACGTTGCACCGTTACCGTCGTCTTCTTGCTGCATGAGCTGGAGCTGTGGGCCGTTACGGCCACGCTCCCGGTCCCGGTCTCTTGATTTGGGACTTTTGATAGGTGGCGGTGGAACAAAAATAGAGGCGAATTTGGTTACTTTGATGGGTAGTGCAGTGAGTGCTGGTGGCAGTGGTAATGACTCAATCAGGGTAACTTTGTCCAGGGGGAGAGTGGTGAACATTGATGTAGGGAGATCGATAGGCGAGCAGGCGACAAGGACGTGCCGTAAGTGAGAGTTCGATGTGTAGAAGGCGAGGTTTTCTGTTTTCAAGATGAGCCGCAATGCACTTGAGAACAGCAAGGTCTATGACTTACCCCTGACTTTTCTTCCTGCACCACCTTCCTTTGCAACGCCAGTGTCGATCCAATCAAAGCTCGATATCCGACCGCAGAAGCCCGTTGAGAAAGCCCGCAATTGGCCGAGATTTCGCACTTTGTCGAGCTTTACGAGGAAGTTCGCCATACCTTCTAGGTTAGAGTACACGCGCACTATAATGTCCATAGCATCTGCGTCTTCGAATTGTGCTCTTAGGTATTCACGTGTCCGGACCATGAGTTCATCGGCCAAGGCTTCGCCGCCCTGGGCTTTCTTTGTGAGATATTTGTCTTGGAACTGAGATTGTTAGTACGAGTGGTCGACCGCAAGCATCACAGAATCGTACCAAGAAGCCTTCTGCATCTGCATCAATAAGAACTAATGCAAAAGGTCGCCGCGACTAGATTATGTAAGTGGCATAAACTTCGAGCTGGATGGAGGGCATCACGAACTTGTTTTTGGACCAAGGCATCTTCTCTTGCTTTGCCTTCAGCGGCTTCTGATTGCAAAGTACGTCTGACGTTTTGTTCTGAATGCAGATCGAGCTCGGTTTGTGCGAGCTTCGCTTCTGTTGCTTCCAGTTTCGCCAGCAGCTCCTAGAAAAGCCATGAGTCACGTGCTTTCGGCGTGGAAAGGTGAATAACTTTGTACCTCAATCAGTTCACATCTCTTCTCTTCTAAAATCTTGAACTGCGCTAGTCTATCACGGTACGATAACGGTGCGGGTGGTGGTGATGCAACTACTACGGCTGTCGACGGCGGTGCGGGTGCGGGTGGTGGCGCCTGGGCTGCGGGTTCCGCCATGACTTTTCGCAAACTTCAAGCAACGTTCAAAACTGGAGAAATTTGTGCAAAGTCCGGGGCAACCCAGCATTTAAAGGTTCCAACACGTTGTCCTTGGGCTCGGATAGGCAAAAGTCACAGCGTGTGTGCCAAAATGCGGTGACCCGGAGAAGGTTGGGCCGCAAAAAACATGGCGGCTGCTGATTGGTGCGAAGGGTGGAGAGTATCATGCATTGACGCGCCCAATTCGTTGCCTCGAAGAACAAACGCACCGGATCCGAATAACGCGTGACATGGCGGACGCGTTGAGATGGAGCACATGTGGCTTGCGGTACGACCCGCAGCGGCCGGGAAGAGCGTCGATGTGAACATGGCGAAGATGGAAAGGTCAGAGTTTGGTGGGGATTTTCACGGCAGATCTGAAGAGGGCGAGATTGAGTGTCATTTTCATGTTGTGTTTCCAGGCAACGATATGATATCAGTATGCTATGCTCGTCTGCTTCGGAGCGCCTCATCTCTGCGTCAGCTTCGACACCCCGTGCTAGGACATCTACACTAGATCCCGACTCCGCTCGACCTCAGGAAAGACAAGACTCTTCACATGCTCCCCGACCTCCTCGAAAATGTGAATCATTTCGCTGCCCATACCGGCCTGACGAGCTAGGTCCAGCCACTCCTTCAGACCTATATTCCCTTCGCGACTGCCCAGCTCTTCGATGAACACTTCACGAAGATTGTGTACAGCAACTTGCTTCGAACCACCGAGATGCGAGAAGCGAATTCTTCTGACACCATACGCAAGTCCTAGTACACCCCGTACAATCGAAGAAGCTGCTGTGCCGCATGGGATGAGGTCGAAAGAACCTTCAACACCAGACAGATCCGGGACCGCAAGAAATTCTTTTGAAAAATGCAAAAGATGTGCCATGACGTTGGATGGCCGAGTATTCTCTCCTATCACGAGTATAGGTCGGTGTACCATCACTACAAGCTGAAGTTATCCGTGCGCGCACTCTAGAGCTACCTCACTCGCCCGCTTGCTAGCCGTATACCCATCAATATCACCGGGAGGGAGCGGGTCTACAACAGCCATTCCCGGGAAGGTTGGCCGACCCACAACACGGCCAAGACTAGCCGCAGAAACTCTGTGCATAGGTATACGGTACGGTACAGCTAGCTGTACAAGACCTTTAGTTGATAGGACGTTGACTGTGCAAAGAGGGGCGTAGGGCCTGATTTGATGATGGCATCTACCGAGCTATCAAGCTGCTGCCAATCTGATAGAGATATACCGAAGTACTGCTTGCTCAGGTCGTAACCATGATTGATGACCTTCGGATGCGATGGAACCTTACTCAGCGAGCGAATGACGACGCAGTGAACTGCACCAACCTTAGGAGAGTTGACTAGGTACGCCCGAGAAAGCCGGGAGCTCCAGTGAGAAGAATAATGAGACTCTGGTCGGCATTGACTTTTTGAACCCGATTCCTTTCCGATTAATCGTTGGTAGAGCCGCTTCTGCCATCCAGGCGAGTGAGATGCCTACGAGACTGAAAATGCTGCATTTTTTCATGACAGCAGTCGTCATTCCACGGAGTATCGAGTTCTTTATAAGATCTGTGAGCATTGAGCTTCCTCTGAAGCCTCGCCGCATTGTATCCAGGGCTTGCGACAAGAGCGATGTGTCTCCACCTAATGTGAAGAAATCGCTCGTCGAAGTGATCGCCGTGGTATTTGCTATCAAGGGCATATGCATCACCCAGATACTCAGAATCCTTGCTTCAATGGGTGCTAACGTGGATCCATGTGCAGAGACACTTGGTCCTTTGTACGGGCTGATTGGCTGGAAAGATTCGATGATTCGGGGTCGGGGTACATCCATAGCTCGTAGCGCTCTTCAATCTGTTCTTCCCAGCTTGCGTCATTGGCATGGCATTGAGAACTACAGCACGCGTAGGGGCGTACGTAAGCTGTCGAAGGGGAGGTAACGCAAAAACGTCTGCAGATACCGTGGTGTTGCTATTCGGAAGGAGTAGCGCAGGCTGTGTTGACCCTTTTTTTTATTTGTTTATTGCTACTTCAGTCGGGTCATGGAGCATTAATGTTAGGATAACTATACCTCCAGTCATGATCGCAAAGAGCATGTGGAATAAGACGTTCTCGCGCGCCCAGCCACTCTGTTGGAGAACTTTAGAATCGTCCGATTCGAAGCAGTGCTTTGTGGTAGAGATAGTAGCATCCATGTTTCCAAAAGTAAGCACCATGCCTTCCTCTTGGGGGTGTGGAATGATATGGCGACATCCTGAGCATCAACCTCACTGGGCATCACGATACAATCCACAAGCTTGAGGTTGTGCGCTCTGAAATATCGTGGCGATGACAGTAGCTTGGGCATGATCGCCGCCACTGAAAGAGCTTGCTATCCAGATTTTAAGTCCACAATTATTGACAACGGCGGAGTTGTAGTCCATGGATGAGCGATCATCGATGGAGACGTCGTTTCCGCCAGCACGCCAGATAGCGAGGACAGCACGGTAGGTCGAGGATGCCCACCGGAATTCCTGTCCGTATACCGTGTGCTAGTAGCGCAGTCGTAAGAACCGACACTCGGCGCGCTAGTTGGCGATGAGTGAGTTGCGATGCCCAAAGACCCTTGACTGCATACGATCAGGATATGTCCGCACGCATGAAGACAATGGACGGATGATTGACTGGATAGGCTGCTGCATGATTGAATCAGTCGCTGAACCGCGAAACTCCTCCGGATCTGAAGATCCAAAGATGTCAACATCGTTGGTAGACTCGTACTCATTGGTGGTGGGGGTGAGAGCGCCCAGAAGCTGCACATAGAGTAGGCCTAGAGCATAAGCGTGCTCTTTGTTATATATATCAGCCTGAAATGCGACTTAGACTTGCAGAACATTCGATGGAACCTCTTGTACAGCCAGCACCAGATCTTAGGCCTCTCTGTAGAATATAGTCACATCTTTTACAGTCTCCAAGGAATCTCCTTGCCAGTCGTATTGACTTCATATATCAGAGACTGCTTTGGTCCATTCAAAGCGTTTAGCAAAGTCTGAATCGGGACGTGCGAGTATTGTTGCGCTGAGCAAACCGTTGCCTTTGTCAAGGCGAGTGCCCCGTCAATAGAGTCTTTCGGTTTGAGTTTGAGGCGAACGGACATCACATCACATGCATTTCCCAATGTTCTTCCAATCCCTATAACCAAATCTTCCGTGCCAGTCAGGTGAGCGAGTAATATTTGCAAAACAACGAGGCCAAACTACATCTCGGATAGGCCGCTGCTCCTACGAGCAGCGAACGCAACAACAATCCCTATCACTGTCCTCGCAGATGCGCCTAGATTCAGCTCAAGCATGTTCACGGCAGTTTTGGCTATCAGACAACTCAGACAAAAATTGCTAAACACGCGACGAGGGACATTGTTATCATGATAACTTCATTACTCCGAGGGTTTTCAGACTACAAACCGGTCTCCGGAGTTTAACTTCTCGTCCTGCTCCTCGAGGATGAAACTCCACATCACTTTTGCTGCTGTCGTTGCACCGTCCATAGAGTTGAGAGTTTCCGCTAACATCCTCGCCTTCACAGCATACTGAGGGTTCTTGAGCACCATAAGAACCGTGGAGCGGATGTTTTTCGCCTTCCAAGATTGCTTTTGAATTCGAACACCTGCACCTGCGTTCATGGCATTGTCTAGATTGGTCTGCTGCTCGACTTGCAATGCAACCCCAACGATCGGCTTACCTGCCGCCAGGGCACACTGGACTGTGCCTTGACCACCGTGTGTGATAACGACATCTGCCAGGGCGTTTGCAGCAGGTGCAGGGATGAACCGATCGGTCACTAAGAGGCGTGGATCTCCCGCTGCGATCTCATTTGCCCTATCGATTGAGCAAATGGACTTCGATGCAAGGACGACGGCAGTCCAATCGTCCTCAGGGTCCAATCTGAGTGCCTTAATTGCCTCAAACAGGAACTCTTCTGTGCCGGAGCTGCCCATTGTCACCAGAATGGAAGGACCTGGTCCCTTCTTCAGATGCTTCGAGATGTCCTCGTCGAGCTCGGAGTCATTACTAGCGTACAGTGGACCGGTAAAAAAGAAATTCTCTGGTATCAGATGTAGATACTCCTTGTGAAAGATGGGATGGTCGTTGACGAGATTGAGATCGGCCATGTTCATGTCGAAAAGTGAGATCGGTCCTTTGGCTGGCCATCCGCAGGCGGCAGCTGCAGCACCTAATCGCTTTTGCCGAAAGATAGGCGCTTTTATCATCAATCCACTGGGCCCACCAAGCGATTTGTTTCCGTATGGGCCGTGGGAGCCTGGTGAAGAGTGGCATCATATCTGGGAAGGTCTCGCACAAGACCATGGGCAAATGCTCCTGGGATGGAAGGGGGACTGGCAAGAAGTTGATGGTCCGAATACCAAGGAGTCGTGCAGCGATTGATGCTGGTGCCCACATGCCGTGGAAGACGATATCAGGCTGCATTTCTCGGAAAGCCGCCAGTTGGCCATCGATGAACGTCTTCGCAATCTCTTCTGAGCCAAAGAACTCGGGCCAATCCCAGCCAAGGTCATGGGCCACTGATATGCCTTTAACCCGTGGCTGAGCTGGCACGATGTTGAAGCCAGCATCCTTTATTTGGTACTCGAAGCGCGAACCACATGACAGAAAATCGACCTTGAGCTCATAACCTGCTGGGCACATGTCCCGTAAGGCAATAGCCATGGAAATGGCACGAGTAGTATCTCCAGCATCCTGCCATGCTACGCTTAGCACAACATGTGTGGAGGTGGTGGTCATGTTTTCAGGAATCTTTTGACCGAGGTCTTTGTATGTGCTTGAGAGTGTGCAATGATGCAGTGAAGGGACTTAGGTCTCCAAGATGCGACTAACATTACAACACATATATACTCGGTAGCGCTTCTCAAGGCCACCGACTGCTCATGTAAGCGCGATCCGCAAGCTGAGGTATAGCCTTTGCACGACTCGACTCTACTCCATCCCCGAAGCCGAAGTCCAACACTCATCACAGTACATGCTCGACAGGGGTCATATCTGACACTACATTAGCCATGGTTTCTGCTATCTGGTGTCCCAAGGGATGCAACCCCAGAAGGAAAAGCCTCTCAGACGTTGGTTGTAGCTATTTTTGGATGCGGCGTTACTTTGCATGGACTTTATGGCTGTGCCCGGCACCAGAAGAGGCGGGGAACCGTACGAAAAGGTTGTGTTCCAACCTCGTTGCATTGCAGCATTTGCAACGTTCGTATCGCTGATATGATCGCAGCCTAGTAAGGCCCAACAACCAATAAAGATGCGGCATTTGGAAGCTTCCACGAGTTGTAGTTCACACTTGGAAAAAAACAAACGGCAGCATCTCAGCCATGCAACTAGAAGCTGGGTAGCATTACCGTTGGCCACTCGTATATCTTTTGGTGCGATGCATCCTCACGAAGCAAAATTGGCGCTATTGTCAGCGCTGTGATGATCAGCAACGCATCTGACATGCATCGACTTACCCAGACGTCACCTTGCTCCTGCAGGACTGACCGATGTGAAATGTGCACCTCACTTCACCGATGGACACATACGCAGTCAATGCGAAGCGAGAGAAGCATCTAGAACAAGCTGTATGTGCGTTTGGTAGACTCTTCCGAAAAAGCTTATCGTGCAATTTGAGAAGCGAACTTTGATCTGACTCCGTATCAAAAAGCAGACAGCCATCGTCTTGTCATGTCAATCAATTTATCATTTATCTGGGTTCGATGCCGCTATTAGCTCCACGTACTATCTAAACCAGAATCCAAGATGCTCATTGATCATGGTGACTGTTGGTGAGATTGCGGAAGCTGTGCATGGACGATAACAAAGTGCGCGCAGGCTAAGCTCAATTATGAGAGATATCGTGCTTGTATTTCATGTTGCCACTTCGAAGTAAAGTGCATAGTACCGCTGCAGGTTATGGCGCATAAACGCTTCACACGTTCTAATACCGGTCTTTCAAGAGCAAAGCTACTCGGAAGCCCATCCCAGCCTCATACCTCAAGAATAGGGGCTATTGCAATCCGTGCCACGAAACGCGGCTGTGTGTTACTTTATTTCATAGATCTCACAAGAACAAGACTTGTCTATCTCCCATGTTTCAGTTCATCGTGGAGATCAGGATTAGCCTTCGCCGTCAGATAAGAGGTAAATTGACCACTCGAACGATACACTCTCTTCCACACAGGTCCAGGTGCGGAAAGTTCAGGATGGGCAGTGTCAGAGGCTTGTGGCGACATATCTGATTGGTTATGCATGGTTTTGGGGGCCAATTCTTCATCGGCGCGAGACCACTTCTCCTCGTCTTGAGCAGCGGCTTGAATAAGGCTGTCCTTGTCCTTGACGCTTCGCCATTCCATCCCAAGAGCAGCTGGGATGGCCAAACACGCAACAATGAGGGCCGCGAAGAAGGTGCCTTTTGTGAGGGAGGCATTGTAGGCTTCGAGGACACCTGGTTGAAGTGCTGTTGGTATGGACTTCGTGAGATCTGTTGCGCCGCCTCCCAGAATTTGTTTCGTGTCTAATCCACCAACGCGCTCTAGACCAGCCGTGAACTTGTCGATATAAAGGTTCTGGCCTACAGCGGTAAAGACTGCGCCACCAAGTGTTTGGCACAAGGAGAGAATGGCCGTCCCCGTCGGCACATCCTGCTTCGGCAAAACAATCTGAACCGCCAGGTTTGGATGTTGCATCGTGCAGCCGACACCTAAGCCTAAAATAGTTTGATATCCGATCCACATACCAATGCTCGTATGTACGTTCCAAGTCGTTATCAGACCAGTTCCGACTGCCATCAAACTGGAACCCATGATCATGAAAGGCGTGTAGTACCCGATACGCTGGGTCAGACCACCCGACAGGATGGAACCAACCACGACCGAGAGAACGAGTGGGATAGTGTTAATGCCTGACTGTATGGCTGACACCTCTTTAATCGCCTGGAACCACAGCGGAATGTATATAGACACTGTCAGCATGGCAGAGCCAACGCAGAATTGAGACGCGCCACCGAACGCCACGCTCCGCTGAAACAGAATTCGAGTGGGAACTGTTGCCGTGGTATGCCGAGTTATATACTGCCAGGTAATAAATGCGACAAGCAGCACGGCAAAGACCACCATGAGCGCGATGAGTCGCGGTGAGCTCCACGAGTAATCCGCCGCACCCCATTCGAGGACCAGCAGCAAACATGTAATTGCTGGTAAGAATAGAAGTGTACCTAGTGGATCGAGGTTCCTGATCGTGTCTCTCCAGTGTGTGAGCTTCGGTTTTTGCTCGTCCAGCTTGAGCAAGAAAATGACAACCAATATCGTCAGTCCACCGAGTGGCAAGTTAATATAGAAGCACCATCGCCAGGTTCTTGGGAAATTAGCAAAAGCATGCAAACGAAGGGCAGCATAACTTACGCCTTGCTTCCAGTGAATGCGCCACCAAGCAACGGACCAGCTACGCTTGCGACACCAAAACAAGCACCAAACAAGCCTTGTAATAATGGCCTTCGACGAAGTGGAACAGTATTGAGCATGATCAAACTTGCACCAGTGAAGATACCACTACTTCCGAGACCTGCAATAGCTCTTCCGATGATCAACATGGTGCTCGACTGTGCAGCTCCACATACAGCGCTACCTATCTCGAAAAGGAAAATTCCAGACAAGAAGACAGATTTGGTGGGAAAGAAGGTATAGATGCGGCCGTATAGCAAGATGAAGCCGGCAGATGTGAGCATATAAGAGCTTCCGTACCAGCCGATGTCGCCTATACTGTTGAACTGGTTAGTGATTGCGGGTATCGCTGGCCCGATGATCGTTCGATCGATTGCCACGAGGAAAATGGAGATGTACAAAGACACCATGATAACTGCTGTCTTTGCCGGTGAAGGGTATGTTGGAGGCTTTGCCGTGTCTTCAGCCTGCTTCTCAGATGCCGATGACTTCTCTGCTGATTTCCCTTTACCCAGATAGGTCTTCATGACTGCCTTCTTGTCTTTCTTTACTAGACTTGTGGCCGAATCCGCAATGCCGTCCCGAATTGTGCTTGCTCGAGAGATGCTCTTCTGCCTAGAAGTTCGATACGAACCCATGACTCCTAGCGTGTGATCTTTCTCTTCTGCTTGAGTCTTCCTGGTCCTCGGGCGAGCCTGTCTCTCCAAATCTACAACTTCTGTGGTTGACAGTGGGAGTATCGATGCGCTGCTCCCACTGCGTGTGAGAACTCGATTGTCTTCTAGTCGCAAAGTCGACCCTGCATCAGCTGTTTCGTGATAATTCGCTGGCGGCCCTGAGAATTCATTTGCGCAGTTCTCTGCCAAATCTGCAAAGATTTCTGTAACTACTTTTGTATCATCTTCTTGAATAGGCATTCTCGGCTCTAGTTTCGTGCGAAGCAAACTATCTAGGCGCGATGTACTCGCCATCTCAGCCATTTAAGGACAGTCTTGCTGTTGCAGGATTTTTTGACGGGCAGGACGATGTGGGCGAAAGATGCTTGCACTAGAAACTCCAGCAGTGGTTCGTACAATCAATGAGAATAAACGCGATGAGATCGCCGATAGGGGCAATAACAAATCAAGATGCGAATATCGCTATATATGATACAACAGACAAAGCAAGTCAGCGACAACACCCCGGTGCTCACGATATAGCAGAGTCAGATCCCGAGGTCGGTATGCGCATCTTGACGAACGCCGATGCTGCAGGCTTAAGCTGTCAATTCATACTGGGTCAGCTCCCTCAAGATCTCTGGACCCTGGTTTGTGCTGCATTGTTGCTGCATGTGGCGGATATCACTTCTCGTGTTGTGCTGCTGCTCTGTCGGAGGCAGGATGGGGAGCCGACGGCGCTTCCGACGGTCATCATCAACACAGCCGATACGAGGCTAAGCTAGAACTCGATGTGGCGTTCAGTCAGCATTCGGAATTATGGATGATAGTTGTCGAAAACTTTTGGGAATGAGGAGGTGGTCTGGTCCTAAGCGACAATGCGTTGGGGAAGCGGAGCCGTGAGTCGTGAAGTGTAGAAGAAGATGGGTAAGAGTAGCCCGCACATCTGCAACTGTTTTTAACGCAACATCGCTGCGGGACGCGTTGTTTCCAAGTTTGTTTGTGATAGCGGCCCACTAAGCCCCCAGATAGAACAACGTCTGAACACACGATACCACAGCCTGTATACCTTCACGGTGCCATCAACCTGACGTTCAAAGAACTGAATTGTTATGTATTTCATTCTAAACGCTGCCATGCCGGACAAGTCGCAGGCGCCAGCCATCATAATGCCTGAGAGTGGCTCCTAGAAAGCAAGCGTCTATCTAAATGCGTCCAAAATTATGTTATTTAATTGTGAAGTCTAGTGTTGCGCC